AATACCAAAAATACTAAAGTGTCATTTCACAAGTATAGATTCTGATTATCGCTATAGATTATGGGACTGGCTCTTTTTAATTAAGCAAACCCACCTTGAACATGCAAAATATTCCTTATCTATTAAAATTTAATATACAGGTATCAAAAAGTTTTCAGTCAATTTCAGATCAGGTTGTAGCTGAAAAACAATACCAAAAATACTAAAGTGTCATTTCACAAGTATAGATTCTGATTATCGCTATAGATTACGGGACTGGCTCTTTTAAATTAAGCAAAGTTCCTTTCTTTGCACTCAAGAGATGTGCTGCCACAATGTAACTAGAAGAGGCTAACTGTAGTTCTCAAGGGTCCGAGCACAGCAGGGCTTAAGGCCTCAGCAAACCTTCTCCTGCTTATAACCCTAAAAGAAGGGTTAAAGATATCCAGCTAAACAATTAATATTCCAGCTGTGTAAATCGGTGCCCTCAGCAGGACCGAAACTCTTCATAGCCATGACTTGTCCTCTGTGACCTGGAGACCTTTAAGTGCCTCATCGGCAGGGACGAGGTGCTGGGAGAACTGTACTCACCCAGCCCGCCTGCTCCCAGGAAGATGCCCCCCACTGCATCTGCGCCGCAGTCTCGGGACACCCCAATGATGATGCACCCCGCCACGATGCTGAGCAGGGCGCAGCTCACGCGCAGGCAGTGGAATTCACTGATACTGACAGCGTTCATCCGCCGCGCGGCCTGCCGGCGGCCAGCCTACAGCCCCTACTGCACGGGCTGCGCGGCTCACTTTCACTGCCTGCCATTCCACCACCGGACTTCCTCCCCGCTCCTCGTGAAACTTGAACCACTGAGATTGTGTTTCCCCTGCGGGCAGGGCTCGCTCCTGCAGAGAAACTTCGGTCCAGATCCCCTGCACAACCTCAAATAATTCAGTAAGAATATTAAAATCCCCTGTCACTGCCCTGTGACACTGTACTGTTGCAAAACAGCTTCATATAGAGCCATACAGAGAATAGAGAGATGCTCTGATTGGCAAGTTACCATAAATCAGCACAAATGGAAGGGACCCCAGATGTACAATGTAAATTGTGACCTGCTGATTACTTATGTTGGGTGGCATGGCGGCACTGTAATTAACATTGCTGCCTCTACGCACGAGAGCCCCGGGTTCAATTCCTGAGGTGCTGTCTGCATGGAGTTTGTATGATCTTCTCATGGTCGGGTGAGCTTCCCCCAGTCTCGCCCCACAGTCCAAAGAAGACATGGGGGTAGGCTGATGAGCTTCAGGGAAAACCGGCCCTGGTTTCAGTGTGCACCTGCTCTATGATAGACTGGCGTCCTGTCCCAGGGTGTGTCCTACCTTGCTTGCCATAATAGGCACCAGCTTCCCTCGCAAGCCTGTGTTTTAAAGCAGTTAGAAGACGGGTGGATGGATTACTTCATATTAAAAGCAGTCTTTTTCGCTGCAAGGTTTATGATGATAATGGAAAAAGTACTCCACGTATTCTTACTCGGCACAACTTGTGCTTTTTCAGACTCTACAGACAGCCCCACCTGCAGCCAGCAGCTCAGATCAGCATCACGGCTTCCGTCTGTGGTAGTCTCTCATGGACTGGGCTACAGAAGTGTGCCCTAAGTGTCTCACAAGCTGTGTTCTGCAGCTCTGTTAGCTCCAGAGCACACACTGAGTTCATTACCACAACACAGGGCAGGCTGGCCTTCAAGGACTGTCATAGAGACATTTCATCTTGCTTTTCAATAGCAGCACCGAAGGAATAGGGAGCAGAATGTTATTACTCAAATGCCAACTTCAATTTTCGGTGTTAACACAATTGCCTCTTAGGAAGTAAAAGATTACAGTTTGAAAGAGCTGAGGCTGGAGGATATGCTAATGAAAACAGTTTCTGGCTAGAGGAAGAATGAAAACCAAATGTTCATTTACTGGGATTTATTTTATAGAGGTGATATGGGAAAGTATTAAAGCACTACTGTATGGTTTCAGGGGGAGGTGATTACTACAGTCTTCGGCTGCAAGAATTAGATTGCATTCAAAACGCAATCTACAGGAAATGGAACTTGCAAAGGAACAGGTATTTAATTGCTCTTTTTACTCTTGCAAGACTTCTGAAACAAAAACCTCTCTTGGGGATCATAAAGTGTGTTTGGCTAATTAAACTCGGGGTCCCATTCGGAGCCGCGGTGCAATAAAGCATAAGGAAATCTCAATCGATGTGGCACCAGGGTGCTTCGTTTCGCTGTATCCTGAATGAGGTACAAGAATGAAGAAGCTGACATTAAGAACACCAGGCCAGAACCAAACAAAGACCGAAGAAATGGGGATGAGCTGTGTGCTTTTGTTCAGCCTCTCATCTTCACCATTACCTGCTATATAGCTTGCTAGCATTGTTGCTTTTAGATGCATGGATGATAAGCGCAGAAGATTAGGGAATATTACTAGATATGGAGCACAGTATTGACTATTGACCTATTTTGAGTGTCGAACACACCAGTCAAATAACAAATCCTTTCCTTCTTATGTTACACATAAGCTTTAGCAGTTGTAGATTTTTTTCAGATTTCTGATATTTTAGTTTGTACTCGAATGGTATCTGAAAATATACGACTCGCAAACAGTCACTTCTTTAGACGGATGGTTTTCTTGTCAGATACTATTTATCGTTTTCTCTTTTTCTTTCTTTGCCTCCAGAACTTAACAGTGCCCACCACGACTTGTGCAGTTGTTCCTCTTTCATCAAATTAATCCCAGAGGGAAGGCATTGTAATAAAAAATGGATTTTGGAACTGTTTTGTCAGATCCATATTGGCTGACTGCATGGTGCTTTTATAAGGAAGATCTCTACACTCTCACTTTCAGATCACATATGGTTCCTTTAAAACAACTGTTAAGAGCAACCAGAAACAGAAATAAAAAAGTCAATCGCTTTTACTTTAACAGATCACCCTTTTGTGACACAAGGCAGAAACAAAGCAGGTATTATTATTCTGGGTAAGTCATAGTACAATGCAAAGCATGGTAATTTGTAAGAAGAGAGCAACACTTTTGCTGTGCTTTTATTGACTCAAAACAGACACTGAAGTAACTATTCCCAGATTGAGTTAGTTAAGAATGTCTTTGGAATACCAATGTTTAAACTGTTTAAGGCCTGTGACTGAAGCGATGTATCATTTAGAAATAGTATTGTTAAATTGTATATTCAAAGCTTTAAATTAAGAAAGCAAATCTGAAATAAATATATGTTGCTGTAACCTTGTAAGTAACCCCCACTTTTAAAATATGCAGTAACTGCTGTTGTTCTGATTGCATATTTATGGACAAGCACCTTTCACGATTTCATTTTCTTCTTCCAATAACAATCCCATTCTTACTTTTTATGTACACTGTGTGTGTGTTATGGACATACATCTATTTTAGATGGCACCTGTATCCAGGGATATAATAAATAAAATGTAAAGCAGCAGAAGTACAAGAGCAGATTATACCAAGTGAATTTAAATGAGGAAATATGTGTTTGTCAAAAAACAATTCCACACAAGTAATGTAGTCTATACTAAGTAAACTAAAGTATTACAGTACAGTAGAATATATTATGTACAGCTAGTGGTAGATTTTGTCATGAAAAAAATTTGAAGTATCCTGTTTCTACTCATGTGCTTCAGCAGCAAAACAATTAGGAAAAAAACAAATTTAATTAATTTATGGACATAAGAAATTACCAATTTTATTTCCTGCAGACTGTTGGTGCCCATAGCAACTTAAATTACTTCTGGTGGTGACAGCATGAAGGACATCAATCCTTACTACAATATTGGAGGTTAACTTTATGTGTGGTATCATTTTCTTGTCCAGTAGGAGCCTGAGGAAATTTACAGCCCACAAAAACACATCCCAGTGATAAACACTCCAGTTTTGACCAACACTCAGCAGTAGGTTACACACACTTCAGAAAAAAAAGTATTTTGTTAAAATACAGTATTAGGTAAGTATTAGGATGTTAGGAAGTGTGCAATACCTGAATCATAGTAATTTTAACAAAGTAACAGACATATCGGAGTAGTTTCGACCGTATTATTTTAGAAAATTAGAATGGTTTTCCTCTGGAGAGCAATCTCTGATCGGTTTACCCAGACAATCAATGCTGACATAGGCCTTAAATAATATTTACATAAACCTTTACCTACTGTAAGTAATGGAGAGGATAAAGTGTGGAGAAGGTCTGTGAAGCCTACCAGAGGTGGGGGTCATGGCTTGGGCATGCAGGGCACCTCTGGAACTGGCTCACTGGTCTTTTCGATCATGTAACTAATGATGGCAGCCGCAGAATGAACCCCCGAAGTTTCCAGAAATGTTGTGTTCTTCTGCTCTCCTCTGATCCTATTAGGCAAACTCATAAGTGCATAGCGAAACTGCACGACACAAAAAGGCACAGCAAGACAGCAGGACTGGCCCCATGCATCGTGCCATAAAACAGTTCTGAGGATGTAACGTTTTCCCACTTCAGGCAATTAACTTGTCATCCTCGTTATTCCAGGCACCTGGGCTAAAGAACTATAGGATTACAGTCAGGAACCGAGGAAATAAAAAAGTAATGAGGGGAGCAAGCACCTAAGATCAAGTTCATCACAAATCCGACTAATTTGATGCCCCATTTATACTCTCTCTTCCAAGTGGAACTTCTCCAATTGCTATAACCCCACTCCTACATTGTTAAAGAGTTAGAGAGCTGGGGCACGATGTGAAGGTCACACACCGGACCTACAAGCTGGGACATGTGAAGAAATGTTTAATTAGCATAAAAAAAGATTGTTCATTTTACGTAAAAAATGGATTTTTGACACTGATTACATGTGCTGATTAACTGATTATTCATGACAGGGCACGAGGCACTCAAGTGACTTTGTTGCACTAGTAGCAACTCAGTCCATTAGTGAGAGAGCTGATTGGGCGCAGACAATGGGGTAATTTAACCTGTTGTTGAATGTCCCTCCTGGGGAAAATCAAGACAGGAAGAGACAGAAAAGAACCAAAGTGCCCTGCTTTATAAAGACAACAATGCCTTCAGTGTGCTCAACTCACCAGCAGTGGAACCAAGTCCTCTTTAGTGAGGTTTTGTGCAGACCACCCTGATGAACATCAGAAAGCGTTGGCGCACGCATGGAATGTTTTAATACTGTAATTACCAGATGCCACAGACCAGTCGACGGGGAGGTCCGAGTGTGATGGTCTGGGTAGGAGTGTCTAGCAGCTACAGGAGTCCTGGGGCCTCACTGGCTGCCCTCCCCACAAGACACCATTTCCTCCCGCTGTTGTAGTGTGAGATGAGAGGGAGACAGCGGAGCTCTTCTCACCAGACTTGAACACCACTGAACACTGTGGGATGAGCTGGGATGAGGGGGCTTGGGAGACCAGTGAAACGTTAATCCGCATAAAGAAGTTATACATCGTACCTGCTCACTATAATATCCGTGCACCATCTACAAAAAGCAGTAATTTTTCTAATGCCTTTATAAGCAGTATGTTGTTTTTTTATGCTCAATATACTGTACTTCCATATACTTGTCTTTGAAAATAGCATAATACTGCCATGTTACGTCAACAAGAAGGATCAATTGTTTCTGTGAGCTCCATGAAAGCTATTTTCTATTAAGACAAAAATGGTTGATGTTTTTTGTAATCTTAGGCACTTTAAATAACATCTTGCATTTATATGCCAAGTTTCATCAGGAAGAACAACTGAAGAGCACCTTCCACGACCCGCCAGCATCTCTACACAGAAGATCAGGCTGTGAACTGAGACGCTGCTTCACCCATTGAATTAAAGTGGAACTTTAGGGATGCCAGGTTGTGCCAGGCATTGCTCTCGGGATATTGTTTATACATCTCGATTTTTCCACCTTAAGTTCACATTTGAATACCTGGATTTGTTTTTTCAGATAGAACAATCGCCCGTTTAGCACAGCTCTTTCTATTGAAACTCAGAATACAGCCCAGGTCTTCGCTGGACAGCCTTGGTCACCCTCCCACAGACTTTGTAGGACTATGAAAAACAGGCCAGTGTTTATTTTGGTAAATAATGGGTTCAATTATGGACACCGGTTTAATGGACACAAACTCTGTGGCCCACGAAGACCTTGGTCATCTCCCGCCAACTTAAATCAGAGGCTCTGAGAAGCTCCTTCCTCTGTAGCAGAACCTGTGAAGGGTTCACAGTTGCTATGGGGATACAGTAGCCATGGCAACTGTGTTGAGATGCTGGTCTATGCAGTTTACACTGGAGATGGGGGAACAAATGAAGCCAAAAGGCTGGTGAAAATTCCTCTCTGCACAAAGTGCAGAATGGTACATTGCGCTAGGGTGGGTGTGTAGTTGACCAGCACTACGAGTAATTATCCCTCAGGAGGGCTGCAGGAAGCCACAACCAGTTCATGCTCAGGCAGAACCTTGACATGTCATGGCTGGGCTCTTGCTCTGGATGTGTCACCAGCCCTTTGTAGGGCCACAAAGAGAGGAGCAAATCAGAGGAGCCAATCAAATCCAGCCAGAAAAGCTCACGTGAACATGGGGAGAACATGCAAACTCAGTACAGACAGCTGAGGGCTGGAGCCCTGAGGCACAGGATAGCTACGACCGCAGACAACTGCGAGGTGAAAAATGGTCTTTGTGGAAAAAACACAGTGAACACCAACAGTCATATTCCAGACGGCTGTATGACCCGATCTTTTAAAATCCCCTGGGGTACCCGGGTGGAATAAATCTGCACCTTCGATAATACATCTTACACATTTTATTTCAATTTAAAAATTGTTCAAAATTGAAGACTGAGAGTCAGTGGCAAAAACAACGGAATGAAAACGCTTTATACTCCAATACTCTCTGTGTGTTTTCTCCAAGAACTCCAATTTAAAATAAAAGAGCTTTTTACTATATTAAGTAATGCTCAGAACCTAAACTATCTAAAAAGCACAGGCACATATTAAAATGATAACTAAGGACATTACCACATACCATTTTGCTAGTACAGAATTCAATTTGCCGGAAAACATGTGACTTGCTGGGAAAACACTTAAAATTATTTGGGCCATAAAGACAAACGCGCACTAACATGGTTCACATCCTTCATTTACAATGCTGCTGAGCAATTATTCTTCAATTAATCGGTGTTCAGTACATGAAATGAGAAAACTAAAAATGTAATCAAATGCATTATAATATTCAGTATATTAACATTACTCCTTGACTAGAAAGAGGACCAAATTTCTTTATGCCATGCAACTACTGGCGTACCATTACTTTGCTGAAGCAGAATGCTTGAGTCCACATTACTCTAGCTGAACAAAATTACATCAAAGCTAAAACAAATGATACTTCTTCAATGTGAATTTTTCAACTCTTCTTTGGATTATGATATTGTCATGTCTGCTTCTTTCCAGATGGGTTGAAATAATGTAACTAAGCACAGTACTTCGGCTTATTTAACTTTTACTCCATGAAGTAACAGCAGTCTACAGATTCCATGCAATTTAACTATACAATACACACGTTACACAATACAAATTCAATTATTTTCTAAATGTTGTTTAGAGACTGAGGTAGTTAGAGAAAGAAAACGGCTGCAGACATGTACCAAAGAATAATCTTTATTTTTATAAATGGCTTAGATGAAACTTTGGGGCTCACAAACGAAATAGGTCACATTCCTATTATGTTCTTTCAACCAATAAAAAAAGTGACTTGTGTGTTCCAGGCAGACATTCAGTCTTATCAATATATCCAAAAGCAAAAAAAAAAATAAAAAGCCTGACCAAGTTCAGTATCTTTCTCACAAATCACACTGAACAGCTAACATTAAGTGGAAAATGTTTTAGGACCCACAGTATATAACCCAGTACTGCAGTGACCGAAAAACATCCCATTTTGTACTATAAGCCTCAGTAGGACACCAGGCTTCTCACAGACCAGACTTTACCTCCTTTAATGTAACTGGAGATTTCACTGGTGCTGCAAGAAGCCCTGAGCTTCTCGCGCAGTGCTGCCAACTCAAATCACTCCACTGCATTATGAGCTTTATAACAGGTTATTTTAGACAGAAGTCTAATCAACTCATCTGAACTATCGCACTGCTGTGCCGAAACGTAGGTTTTTGCATGAACGGATAATTATTTTCACATGCATTTTATACCCCTTTTAGGACCCTAAAAACACCTAGCTGTGCAGTCATTTATATGCAAATGTTTGCCATTTTACAGAGATGAGATGAAACATTAATATGGCTACCTAGCTGTCATCTGTTCCTTCACTTTGATCCTTCCATGTGGAGCTAGTTCACAGCCATCTATCACACAGTCTGTAAGCCGACGCCCCTTGACTCCCAGATCCACCAAGAAGGTGCCACTTGAAAAAAAAATGACATTTGGTAGTGTCTGACATTTATGACACACAAACACTACATCAGAATTCTGCAGAGATGGTGAAAAAAAATACATGAACCACAATGGATCCAAAACGCCACTGAACATTTGTTTTACCAGCTCAATAATGAGGTTTTCACAGAACTATCAACACTTAATCTACTTCAGCCCTGAACTGTGCTTCAAACCAACATAAAAAGCACACTTAGAATGGGTACATAAGAACTATGCACTTCAACCAAAGATGACAATTCTTGACTTATAATTTACCCTACAAATCTAGTTAAAAATGAGTTAATGAGAGTCTGTAACAAATACAAACGAACTCAAATTTAGTATTCTGCATCAGGTGAATTCGTTTGACAGCATTCATCTGTTACACCGCGTTACTGATACAGAAGGAAAGCTCTGACAGGGCAGAAAGGGGTGTATTGATACATGTAAATCTAATGTGCAAACAGCAATGTGCAACTTTTGCATGAATCAAAAGACTGAGGTAATATGCACAATTTCAAAAATCAGGTTCTGCACACAGGAATTGCAGACTGTCACTAATTTTAGCAATCAGACACAATCATATCCAGTAAGAATTAATTTGCAGGTAATAGGAATGTAATACTCAGACAATGCAATAAATCTAAAAAAACTTATCAGCTATGCATACATTTCTATTTCAAACATAAAAGGTAACATTTAAGAGCTTCGACAAATTCATCATTTTCATTAAAAGTTCCAAGTTTAAAATGCAAAGCAGCTCAGTGGAAAATTTAAAAGTGCTGAACAGGCCTTTTTTCGGCTTGTTCAAACGGCATAAAAACTGCTTTGTCTTTTTAAATTCTAAGAAGCCTGTATAAAAAAAAATTCTAGAACAATAAAAAAGTAATTTGCAACAACACTGTGGGTGGATGCATTCTTGACATTTTGGAAATATCACCTCTATTTCTAAAATATTTTAAAATGTTCATGGAAGGATTCTGCAATTTAACACCCCAAGTGTCCCCAGATGTTCTTTTTAAGTATTCTAATGTAACTTCAATGTTTCTCTACAGACCACACAAACAAAGATGTTTACTCAGTACTTGTGGACGTCACATGCCCAGAAAAAATTAACTAGGTAATGTTTCATGTGACTTATTCAGAATCTGCAGCAAAGAAGTGCAGAAAGAACATTTATGCATGTAAGATAACAGCCCTGAGGCCCCGCCTCCAGGAATACAGCAGCCTCTCCACATCCTGACTTGATGATATTATCTGAAACTCAAATGAATATGAAGATTGGACTACATTCTACAAGAAATGAAGACCGCTATCCCAGTGGGGGGGACTACCATTTCTTACCAGTTATCCTTTCTTCACTGATAAAAACCCAAATGGCCCTTTAAGACTATCCATATCGAAACGCATGATCGACTTTCAGGTCTAGAAGCCTCCGAGGCTAGCTCACTGATCATGGGCCAAACACTACTGGGCAGAAACAACATCCTTGGGCCTGTTCTTACACGTTTAAAATTCCCAAAACCCCTCGCTTGAGATAGTGGCATACACGCACACTGAACCACACTTCACAGCTTGTTCTCAGGAAAAATAGCTTATTAAAATAAAATAAAACAAGGACAAAAAAAAGGAAGGAAACAGTAACCCAGTTCAGAGAGCACCTCACTGTCACTCATTACTCCGTTGATAAAATTTAAATTATGACGAACAACGATTACACAGGTTACCGCCAACCTGGGCTGTAATTTACCACAATGGAGAACGCCTACGTAGTGTTATTTAGGCCTCCGGCCTTTGTTGTGATATAAAAGTCACATCATTACGGATATGCTGGCTGGCTACATTACTGCTCTGTTTGGAAAGTGTGCCGTTTCCTTTTACCTCTCATCTTGTGTAATCACAGTGAACACTGAACGAGGCTTCTGAACCCAAGGGGCACCTCCCCCTAAGCCCACCTATTCCTGCTGGGGATGTCACTGGCGGGCTAAAACTAAGCTGGAGCAATCGGCACACTGCTTGCGTCCCGTCAAGTTAAAACAAGCCCGAGGCGTCGGCACCAGACTGGAAGTCCTCGGCCCGGAGGGCGTGTGTCTGAGCCCTGCGCCGGGCCAGCCGGGAGTTGGACGGAGGGGAGAGTCTCATGGAGCAGATGATGGCGGTCATGTCTTCCTGCTCCTCGTCGTGCTGGGACAGCTGCCGGTTAAAGGCGATGGCGTCGGCTGCAAACTGGGTCAGGTCTTTCGTGCTGCTATTCCTGGAGAGCAGGTGGGAAGGACAAATAAAACATGCAGTCGAACTGGCCCGAAAGAATAAATCACTTGCCCGTCACTGGAGGTATTTTGTATAAAAATCCAGGAACAGCAGCACAGTTTCAGGAGATTAAGATTAAATGCAAAATTCAGCTGCTCATGCATGTTATACAGCTGAAGCACGGTTACTCATCAGGTCACCCATGTCTATGCAAGTAGGACAATCACCTCTTTTGCATTTATATTCCTATGAATGGATCACACACCCTCTGATCCCAGTCTGCCATTAAACACACAGATTACTTCCAGTGGTAGGAAACTATCTCTAGTATAAAACAACCTGACACACCTGCAATTTAGGTAACTTAATCTGACCACAAGCCATAGTTTTTAGGTTCAATTTGAAAATTTTAAGAATTCTACCTGCAAATTCCAACATGCAATGCATATACCTGTCATTTAAAACATCATAGTTGTTATATACCTTTCTGGTCCATTATGAAAAGCTGAAGACTGTATTGCCCTGTCTTTAACAGATGAGGCTGTTTCCATATACAGTATAAATACACATCTGGAAAAACATTTCTGATTTTTGTGTCCATGCTGTGTAAAACGTCCACAGCCAGTCCAGGGCTTTTATATGGCACTCAAAGTAATTTCATTGTGAACTAATATGGAACTCCCAATCACATTACACTTCGCCAGTTAATGAGATTAAACATTTTTAGTTACTGAAATTTACCACTGTAGTGTAACCATTTCTGAAAGAAATCAGATGTATTCTTACATACACTTTCCACTCAGTATATAAGAACTGTGCTTTTCAAAGCATCTACTTCCCAGCCATTAGCAAAAAACCTTACACTGCTGTGCCTTTCGATATAGGCCTAGCTATTAAACCTATTACCACTGACAAAGGTGTATAATGCACTGGCCTTTTAAACCAAGCTGTTCACTAATAAGATCTGTATTAAAGGCTATAACAAAGTTCAGCTCATCGCAGCAGCTGCCACATGACGGGACATTTATCAAAAGAGCAAAGATTGTGGAAATGTCATCTGCATGCTATTAAGCAGCAATATTAACCCTGTTACCAAGTGTAAGATATTCATGCTCTTTCATTTTCCCACATCCACTTTTAGATATGATTACTGAAATGTCTAAGATGACAGATGCTGAGTATCACCCCTACAAAGGCAGTAAAGGCCTGTATTAAATTAGGAGACATCATCATCTTCTGCCCTGACCATCACAACAGCAGAGGAAAACAGCAAAAAATCTTCATTATTGTGTATTGAAGCAAGACAGCCACTTATGAAAATTAAGCTGTACTTCGTGCCACGCTTCCCAATACCTTTAAAACGGACGTGTTATAGCTCCGTTAACGCACTGCTCCATTACCTTCAGTAAAGTGGAAGTTCATGTTTAATATAATTTACATGGTAATTGGAAAAAAAAAAAAGATAGTTTACTCTGACTTTCTAGGAGTCAGCGGCAAGAACAAAAACTTACAGTAATGACTAACCACCTCTTGGAAAATACTTCCTGAAATGCGAATGGTGTTCTGCCATTCAAACAGTCACACAACCATAATGAAGTAGTTGCTTATTAGGAGATAGCCAATCAGGTTAAATGGACTCTGAACACTGATGACTCACTCCGGAGCACAGAATCAGAAAACTAACATGACATTACATTGGTTTTCACAATACAGCTGTCGAGTTTCTTGCATGGCTACTTTTTTCGTGGATTCATTTCTTTCCACATCTCATACAGGTACTGCTGTTTCCTTCTTGCTGGCCTATTTTCTATCTCATTTCCGATGAGGATTATGTAGTCTGAGTAGCTCACCTTTGCAGTACATGCGGGGTAGGAAGGCCTCTCTCAGGAGCGTTCTGGAAGCAGAGCAAATTCAGAAAATAAAAGCTGACGAAGATCTCACAGAAGAGAGACGCTGGCCTTCTCTACAGGTCACGACAGGAACGTAATGAGCACACTCACACAAACTGCATGCAATTTAAGAGAGCAGATCGTGAATGAACTGACCAAAGACACAACTAAGGAATTGAACAGTAAGTCTGCATGTTAGAAAGTGGAAATCTCTTGCAGTGAAACTTAAAATGAAAAGCATTCTTATCAGGAATTTTACGGTGGTGCTACTATGCCAACAAGCTTTTAGCAGCCTGTAAATGCCAGAACCCATTCCTTTATTCTGGTTTAATTACTCTGAAAACAACATAAGGGTGCCGTTTTCGCAGGTCATTTTAGGGCGAGATATTTCATTGAACTTTTGAAAGAACCTATGAGCATGACTAAGAATGCTTCGACGAAAAAGCAGCACAGTTGAAAGCTTCTAAAAAAATAGAACCTGGTCGGAATTTTACATTCGAAGTTGTGGGCAGAGCACTTACCCCCTGCACCCAGGGGTGTTGTAGGACCTGGGCAGCACTCAGTCTCTGCTTGGCATCACGCACAAGGAGCTTGGAAATGAGGTCTTTGGCCCCTTCGGATATGTGAGCCCAATCCTTCTCCGGAAACTCGTATTTCCCCTCTTGGATGCTCTCAAATAAGTTGTTCTAAAGAGAAATAAAAAAAATAAAAGATAAATTGGGTGGCCAAATAAACATATATTACTACTGTTACAAGATGCCAATTGTTTTGGCAATGCATTAACTAGACTTAAGATTCTAAATTATAAAGCCATCATTTCTGGACTAAGAAGAACACTCATTTTCCACAGTTGTAATCTATGAGGTGTAAAGTACACACATCCCTTGAAAGTCAACACCTGGTTTATGACGTTTCAGGGTCCAGGGTTACACCCCTACTCTTTACAAGAAACGCCCTGGGATCTTTAAAGACCACAGAGAGTCAGGACCTCGGTTTTACGTCTCACCCGAAGGATGGCACCTTTTTACAGAATAGCGTCCCCATCGCTATACGGGGGCATTAGGACCCACACAGACTGCGGGGTGAGCGCCCCCTACTGGTCCCACTAACGCCTCTTCCAACAGCAATCTTAACTCTCCCAGCAGGTCTCCCATCCAGGTACTGGCCAGGCTCCCACCTGCTGAGCTCCAGTGGGCTGTCAGAGGTGGGGTTCGGGGCGATGCGGCTGCTGAAAACACCAAGTGACTTTCTAGGCCTCAGAAAGGGATCTGAATGGTTTTCCTCTCGTGAAGGTGTTTTCTGATGAACGGACCCCACACACCTGACAGGCGCGGCACGTCTCTCCCCGCTCCCAGCCGCAGTCCGTGCCACAGTGCCCGGTGAAGGGAGGGCAACCGCTCAGGAGGATGTAGAGGATGACGCCCAGGCTCCACAGGTCGCAGCGCTTGTCGTAGAAGGAGGCCTCGTCCGTGAACACCTCCACCACTTCTGGAGCCATGTATTCTGCTGAGCCGCACTGCAAGACAGGCACAGGCACCTCGCATCCAAGAGCACAGGCTTATTTTAATAACAAGGCGCCACGGAACAGGAAGCCTTCGGTCTTAGGCTGGATTACCGGGGTGGTGAGCTCGGGAGTTGTTATGGGCGTACAGGCACTGCTCAGCTTCACTCCACTCCCCAGGTCAAAGTCACAGATCTTCACCGGGGACACCTGAGGCAGGGATACGAGTGTCAACGCCATGCACCCCCTCTGCCACTGCTGAACTGTTCACTGAGCACCCGTTTCAAAGAAGCACGCCAGCCTTCAAATGCGAATACAGATACTCTGCCTTCAGCGAATAAAAAAAAAAATCATTCGGTCACAACGAGGTCACTACTTAACAAGTGATCTGCCAACACTGGACCCATCCTGAAGGGCTCTTGCAGATGTCTAAAATCGCTACTGGAGATTTACTATTATGCCGGCAATAATAACTTTGAATAAAAAGATGTAGAGCACAGATAGGGCAAGAAAGAAAATCAGAGATGCGTCAACATCTATTATAACAGCAGTAAAGGCTGAGAACGAGATCCACTTGCTGTGGGCTGATCTTTTATCTTCTACAATCATGGAGCCCCCAGCTTTTCAGTGACGAGACAAAATGAAAACTGTGTCTCAATAAAGTATTCTTTTAAATTTATTAAGCTGAGTTCTCTCTAAAGCTCGCTTTATTTCACAAAGTACTGTACACAAAGGAGAAAATCTGTGAAGGTAGACATATGTGCTGGACAATCCAAGCCTAGATGTCAGAAATAGCACTTCATGATATAAAGTGTGCTTTTACACAGCTCTGAAACAAACATTGGCTACTTGCATATTATGCCTAGTTCTTTAAAAACTTAGTACACTTTAAAAAATGCATTTCTAGTACTTAGGAAGGTTGAAAGGTTCTAAATTTTTGTGAAGTTATTTTAAAAAAAGTTATTTTAGAACTTATTACACACTACCGAAAAAAGAACAATTCATATTTTCTAAATATTTCTTATAACCACTCAAAATTATTTAAGAAGCATGATTGAGGATTTTATGAATAATGTTTATAACCGAGTATAAACTGTTAAAGAAAACTGAAAAATAGAATTTTTAAATGCTATTGAAGTTTCTTTTTATTTTTTTTATTTTAGAGAACAAATAAAACCATTAGAAATACAAATGATATTACACAACCATCCTTTTATAATACAAATTCGCAAACATACATTATACATAAAAATATTGTTTGTTCTTATCTGTTCCCTTAATATTTTACAATTATTTTGCTTGGTTCTTACCAAACTATATACATTCAAAATTCCGTGTTTATGATTATGAAGAAAGTTATATATACATTCTTATACAGAAGGTGCAGAATAAACTAATTCCAGTTTTAGTTATTCTGTATCTCAACAAATCCAGACTTTAAAGGTTTAATGTACTTAACCCATCGAGACCAACAGTAGAAAAACTTGCTCATCTGTAACTTACAGTAAGTGGACAAACCTTACCTGATCAGTGAATTCACAAAGAATATTCTCAGGTTTCAGGTCTCTGTGGGCAATGCCTGGAATGAATGCCAGCATTAGTGAAAAGTGACACCACAGATTTGAAAAAATAACATGTCTCAGTGATTCGGAGGGGGGGGGAGAGTCGGGCATTTCCTGTTCCCTTACAACTCTTGGTCTGTTCGCCACTGGAGCGAACAAGCAAGGGAAACTAGTGATGAGCCAAGCCGGGGCTTCTAGGTCTTATCCATCCCACGGCCAACTCACACAATTCTAAAAACGTTCACAGCGCACCTCCCCGCACGCTACATCGTTATAAGCAATTCTCATTGCACCCTTTCATCCGAGTTTGCCTTAAAGCGTCTAGTCCCCTCTGGATACAGGAAAACCGGAGCTCTTCCCCCGCCTCTCTCAAGTGTTCTCCCTTTATGTTTATGCCTTGAACTTACCTCTCATGTCTCATGCAGAGTGTGGAATTAATAATAATAATAATTACACTCATATAGCGCTTTTCTGGACACTCCACTCAAAGCGCTTGACAGGTAATGGGGATCCCCTCCACCACCACCAGTAAGCAGCCCCCACCTGGATGATGCACCAGAACGCTCCCCACACACCAGCTCTCAGTGGGGAGGAGAGCAGAGTGATGAAGCCAATTCATAGATGGGGATTATTAGGAGGCCATGATTGGTAAGGGCCAATGGGAAACTTGGCCAGGAATTAACAGGGCTGCCATGTGGTGGCAAGGAACTGGCTGTGCCGCTATGGCGGTCACTGGCTAGCCAGGGTCCTCCTGTCATGCGGGGGAGGGGACCAAGGGTCCCGCAGGCCAGCAGAGACCGTGCGAGAGACGGCCCTCCCCCAGCCGGTGCAGACTCTCCTGACTGGCGCTGTGGAGCTCACGGCACGTGCCAGGAAAACACACGGCGAATTTCAGAGCGGGCAGGGGTGGGTGAACGCTGCACTCGGGAGAAGCACGGTCGCCCGGCTTCCTCACCTTTCGTGTGGAGGAAATCCAAGGCTGTTGCGATGTCCCTCACCACCCGGCTGGCCTCCCTCTCGTCGAAGTGCTTGCGGCTCTGAATGTGAGTCAGAATGGAGCCTGTGGACAGGACAGGACAGGACAGGACATCAGAGTGAGGTACATTACAGAATACCCGTTACTTTTCACAGCTGCTTCTCACTTTTATGAACTCCTAATAATGATAAAAAAAAACATCTATTCAGTATACGCTGATAGGTCGCTGAATGTATAAACTAATAACATTTAGCCAAACTTATTATTTCAATCATTTATTTGTATTTCCTTCCCATGCATGTCTGTCATATTAAATATCATACTGAATGTATCCAAATTGTTATAAATCTGTTTGACTAGCAATATTTTTGTTTTGTTTTTTTTTAACAGAAGAAAGGTCTCCTTAACAGGCCTATACTGTACCTCCTCGCAGCTTCTCGAACACCAAATAAAACCGGGTCTCATCTTCAAAAAATTCAATCAGCTCCAAAATATTCCTAAAAATAGAAACGGCTTCAACGTATGAAGCTACAAGATAAACAAATACAAGTGACACTACAGATTGCAGTGACCCTGTGTGTTTCTGGGCAGTTCCCCCTCAGTCGAGAGGTACAGTCAATGTGACAACGAGCAGAACTATACTGCACACTACATCCCCCGCTCTGGTACAGCTCTGCTTCCGAAACGCAGCACAGCTCTTTTCTAGTTTTGAGGAAAAACCGGTTTAGAGGCAATCCACTCTGTGACCGCGACCGCCGCCTCAGGGTTTGCAAACCATTATCTCAATGAGCAAAATAATTCCTGTCCCCGCACAATATTCATCATACCTTATTACAGAACAGTCAGCAAACAGTCCTACTTTAATACCGTCCTTACAAGGAGGCAGCTTATCTACTGTAAAGTCACAGAAATGACACACATTAAGAATGTCAATTAATAACATTAACAAACAAGAGCTTGGTTTAATAATAGACCACCAGTAATTCCACTTTTACTTGTTTATGGTACACTACCTGGTGTGTACTGTTATCTGTTTTTTTAAAAAGCAACACTAAATGTCAGCACCTCAGTTTTTTTGGGGGAAAAGGAGTAACTGTAAAAAGATATAAATGAGATCAGTATTGCCCTGAATGCTAAAGGTACTGAACCTTTAGGTAGGTGAAACATGATACCCATACATCTCAGATGTTTTTTAATTGAATTATGCTGCAACCTGCTTAAAGTAGCACATGTTCTATGCTTTTTTTATATTTTAATTGTTACTCTGTGTAAAGAAAGTCAGCAAAACCTTATGATGATTGTGGTCATAATTATACTTTCCACCTCTCACAGGTAAATATGTGCTACTGTACAATAATAATAATATACAGTAACACACTGTGTAATTAGGTTTCCCATATAGGATGGGCCCCACTTCATCCATCATTGACCTGCAGCATGAAGAGCCTGAAGCCCCACTATACTGCAGATCAGGCAGAAAAGTGAGACTGACAACTGAATTCAGAGAAGCCAGACTGTCCAAGCCCACGGGACGATGGAGTTAAGACCCCTCCCTACTTTATTAGTAGCGGCCTGGAATCTTTAATGGCACCTCCTGGTGCACTGCTAAAATACTGGTGCGGGTTTGGAAATCGCGCTCAAGATGGAAGAGTGCCACCTTCTGGTCACCTATGCCACTTACAGAACTAACTCATCTTTCCTTAGGTCTCCAATCCCAGCACTGACCAGCCTCAGCTGTGCATCACTCCCAAGATCTAATCAGGTCAGGTTAAGTGGTCGTAAATGCTGCTTTTGAGTTATTACCAACAGCCCCAGCAGCACTGCTTCAATACAAATAGCAGTATGGGGGACCTCCCTGCTGTTAAGATCTAGCTATCCACCATCAGGGAGTTGTGTTGAATCAGTGCCTAACTTGGAAGAAGAGGGCACAGAACAGGCCTGAGAACTCACAGCAGCTCCCCATCATGACAGAAAGCTTGTCCTTCACAGAGCAACAGGGCAAGAGTCAATCCAGCACTGGGAGGAGGCAGGAAACAAGCATTTAAAAAAAAAAAAAAAGAACCCGCTGTCTATACGTCTATAACTTATACCCCCAGGAAGAACACGCAGACTTCACCCAAGACCGGGATTAAAGTCAGGTGCAGCTCTGGGACAGCACCACCAAACTACCCTACAGCACGGGCCGCGTTCCGAAACGGTTCGGGTATAGCCCGACTCCCTGCAAGCAGGAAACGAGAGACTCAACAAAAGACAGGATCCCAGGATTCCCCCGAGGTCTGCGTACCGGCTGCCCTGGCACTGGTAGAGCGTCTCCACTTCCCGGAACACGCGGCTGCGGCTGTGTCCCACGTTCTTCTCGATGATCTGCGGGGTACAAAACGCCGAGCGCTGACACCACGGCAAACCCCCGCGCGCGCGTGAGGGTTACTATACTAAGAGCACGGCCGACCTGCCGACCAGCGGTTCGGTTGTTGCTGCACGACCTGGGGTGCAGGAAGAGCGAACTGCTAACGTGACTGATCAGGTGGCCTCAAGCAGCACAACGCAGAACTGCTTCTTCCACCATGTCTCAAAAATTAAAAGCTGCAGTGTGCTTACAGTACACTTTTGATTCTATAATATAATATAAAGGAAATGTGCAGTTAATCCGTTCGCTCCCAGTTATTTCTTATTGAGAGCCTACGTACACCTACAGCAATGCTGCCACTGCAGTAAAATGCAGAGACGCCTAACTGACCCCCTTACCTTGGCAGCAAATTCCTTCCCATTCTGCAGGCTGACACAACCCTGGACCTTAGCGTAGGCCCCCTGGCCCAGCAGCTCGTCCGTGAGTTTGTACACGTCTGGGGAAAACAAGGAAAAGGCCACGGAGTCACACCCCTTTCTTGCCTCACCCTTCATTTCACCAGGCGAGTCACCCCTGAACGAATTCTCATCCGCGATGAAGACCTAGATGGTGCTCACTCACACAACGGGGTCACTGTAGCAGTCCTGCGTGAAGTGCCTTGCTCAAGGGTACAGAGTCGCGCCGCGGTTCAGAACCCAAGACCATCCAGAGTTCAGAGCTCTAACCACTAATCCCAGCTGCAGGGATGGTATCAGCCCTCCCTAGAACTGATACCTTTTTTTTTTTTTAGTCAGCTGGACCTCTTCGCCCCCAGAAACATCTAAGAGCTTTCGAACATCGCTGTCCCTTCTTATTAATGGCACATATCATCTCAACATGTCATTATCAGTAATAAAACTGTTTCTTTTCTTGAGGCAGAGACCATGTTGTGCAAAAAAAAACAAAACACGCAATATAAAAACTCCACCCAAGCATGCCTCCGATTTTAGAGGGGAAAGGTCTTACCGTTGAAGTTCCCGGTGAAGCTGTCAGTGGCTTTCGTTTTCCTTTTCTTCTTCCTCTTTTTCCCGGAATCCGGTATGCTGAGCGGCTCACGGGCTCCCACCACTGGGGCAGCAGATGCAGGGAATTCCATTGGAGGGATAAAGGTAGGCAGGCACATGAGTGTGGAGCAATGTTAAGGCACAAAGCACAGAAGAACTTGGCCAGACAAGACAATGGACGAAGTCAAGACAGACGTGGGCTCAAATTCTGCTTATACAAATAATACAGATACATTTAAAAAAGTCCATCGTTTTCCATTTTTTAATTCATAAGCTTGGAAAATCTTTCAAATAAAAAACATTTAATTTTTGGTCAGCAAGCTATTCAGTCATGTGGAGTCCCTGGAACATAGACGCATCTCTTCCAACATCCAATCTGCCCAGATTATTTCTGAAAAGCTGCTGCTCTTGAGGCCTTTTCATGCCTTCATGCGTTACATCTGATCCTCACCTGACCTGAAGGGTTTTGTCTACACTGCTGTGCCAGTCCATTTTAACCCGAATCAAGACAACTGATCGTGCTTCGATTAGGGATAAGAACAGAGTTCAAAAAGAGCACCGTTTAACTATTTATCTCGCGTAAACCAAAAGAAAAGCAGTACCAAAATCGAAATCAACAAAGGTAACTTCCTATTAATGTGTCACTTCCTCCTTGTTATGACTAATAGTAGCTTCAAGGGAATATCTATAGATCAGACCGCCGATTTCTTGAGAAACGCCAGTGTAGATGCGCAAGGATGTTGCTACATACTGTAGTGTGGTGCCAATAAAGTCTTTATAGAACCTATTGGCAAAGCATGAAGCAACGCGAGCCTTAAAACAACATGATATTTAAAAACATGCCACCAAATGACATCCGGCCCCATGAACGAGACCCTTCCTCATGCAAAAGCTGTACTATCCCGTCCAGTATCCTGACAGGCTCCCAGCTTACAGCCGATGAGAAGTCTGTCCTTCCCATTGCTTAAAAAAAAAGCCACTCATTAATTAAGAATTATTCCTGTATTAAACAAAGCAGCCTATTTTAAATCCCTCAAGTACGCCGCTACTCATTTCAAAGTGGCGGGGGGAGTACCACTCTTGAGTGAGCTCTGCGCTTGCTAATTTACAGAATCCCAGCAGGCAGGCAGGCAGGCAGGAGATGCGCGGCAGTGAGGCACTGCCCGCCTCGGAGGTGGGCTCTTACCGGCTGTGGCGCCCGTGTCAGGTGCCAGCTCCTCGGAGGTGGTGGCGGCGGAGCTCTGGGGGAGGCCGGCAAGTCCCGCACAGCCCCCCCCAGCTGGGACAGAGGCCAGGGAGCTGTTCTGCAACTGGAGGAGGGGGAAAAAAAAAAACACCATCGCCCTTCAACACGACTGCGTGCAAGCACACGGATTCAGTTTCCTCGTTTTTGCATGTTCGGCACGCGATCAGGCATAGGTGTTTCTGCTTTAAAGGGGTTAAATTTAGGGATCTTTCCAGAGGTATGAAACGGCGGAAAGCGAAACATCTACAGGAGGAATAAGAGACGCCTGAACTGGAAGCACACGAGGGGAACACCCAGTAGGATTTTCACTTCTGCTTTAAACGGGGTTTATTCCTCTTCCTGGTGATAACAAATGAAATACTGACCGAGCACAGATCTCATAATGCTGCACTGACTGAAAAGGAAATGAAAGTGTTAAAACAGGCATCTTTTTTTCCCCAACAGATTTACACTAAAGTTCCTGACTCTTCGAATTTAATCCACCCCACAACTGACCACACTCTAAAAAACATAGCATCCATTCTAAACTGCATAACAGGAAGAATTAGAAAAAATGTGCAATCATTGATAAGATATTTTTAAAAAGGTTTCCCTACCATTTTTCCCCCACGAAGAAATAAAGGTCTTAAACTTCAACTGAGGAGACACCCCTCAACACTAACTGCACATGTAGTTTCATTCACGTACTTTTTGCCCTTGTAACAGCGAATGCCAGGTTTCTCAGAAACGGCATTCTTTTTTTAGTGCACAGGAACATGTGGGTTTGAGGTTTGCCTGGTGATGACAAAAAAAGTTAGGCTGCTCTTCTTGTTAAAAAAAAAGTAGCCTACATCACAGTGGTCTATTCTGCGGTCTGACCTAGGCGACACTGTCTTAGACACTGTGAAGCCCTTCCTGAGTTCCCGACAGCTCTAGTAAGCTGTGTGTTTGCTGGGAGAGGGTGCTCTGTTGACCATAAAACCACATGAGAGGCAGGCAGGCAAGGGGCAACTCGGGAACAAGATGAACACGGATCTGGGAGTTTACCTGCAGAGTGTGCTGAAAGGCCTGCAGCTCAGCAATCTTGCTGTGTCGCACCATCTCCGCCAGCTAGAAATGACAAAGCACATCCTCAACACACGCAGAAACCCTCTCCACGCAGGAAGTCAGAAAGGGAGCTCTGGTCTGTCGATCTCTTGCTGTGTGCATGTTGCAGCCAGCAGGAGAAGGCTTAGGGTTGCTCTCTTCCCGCCCAGTGCAATTTCTGCCTCCGCCACTGAAGATCATCCACATTGAACCACAAATGCACTGGGAAATATACTAAGCCCTTTCCAGACCAACATGACAACAGCGCTTGGCAAGCATATCTCCGGAACATGCAAACACAGGCTGACAAGGGTCAAAGTAAATTTCCAGATCCTAAGCAGATGAAACCGCCCTGTACTGACCAGCAGAATTCCTGTGTTTTAATTAAATTAGAATATATATTTCATGGCTGTGTGTGATCATTGTAACGGTAAGAGAACAGCCCTTAACAGAAACTAGAGAGGGCAATGAACACGGATAACCAAACTGTCCACCAAACGGTCTCATCTGAAATATACGACTTAAGAAATACACTACAATATGTAACCACTGAAATATTAATAATTTAAAGTTAGTCACAGATTTTAGTCTAGTTGCGACCTCATTTAGTTCACAAACGTTTGCAGGCTACTATATCCCTAGTCTAGTTGATATAAATACATCATGTCTCAGAGACATTAAGTCGTCATATAGTATTCTCTAACGAGGTTAGACTACAACTACAATATTTCGCAATAACTAAATTGGTTACACAACAACAGAACAACGTTTCGCAAGAAACTGCAGATTTTTATCAAGTCTAGTACATTTTTATCAAGAAGGAGAGTGTTAAGCGTACTATACCGATGAAACTCACAATAAGTAAGAATTTACTGTACTACTACGTGTCCAGCACTGAAGTTAACCCCAAAGACGGAGCACATAGTCACCAGGGTAAACCGGTCGGTGCCCACTGAATAACCTCGGTGTTTTTTAAACTTAGTCACGCTGGAAATCAGAGTTTAGGTGTACATAAATGCACCTGCCCAACGTAAACAGACACAAACCTGAAAACTGCGCCCGTAGCAGCTTAACTCCGCCTTCAAACCCTCCGCCATCTTCCAAACCACAACATCAAACCCCTCGGTGCTGTCCAGCTGCTCCAGGTCGCCTGCTGTCGGCCGCGGCGGGGGCTCTGTCTCCGCATGCGCAGATCGTACAATGGGCGTCACTGTCCGCCATCTTGGTAAGGTCTCCGTAATGCAAACGAAACTTGTCACCTTTGTGTTATACAGAGCCTTTAAAAGCAATCGCCCCCCCCAGTGCTTTACTACACATGGGTGTACATTACGCAAAACAAAACCAAATTATACTATAAAAAGTCGTGAGTTTAAACTAGACTTTAAAGCTCTCGTGAATGTGTCTTTGATTTCTTTTGGGGTGGTGTTTTAGAGCTACAGTGTGAGGCATGGCAAAAAAGCAAGACCAAGTCCACTATGTATGGTATGTCATCTATATAGTGTACATAGAGGGACAAGGAGACTCCAATCCCAGGATCCACGTAGTCTTACAGGTGCCTGCACTACCTGCTTATAAAGATTAGAAGCACTTAAATGATATGGCTATTGTAGGATGAAGGGTCACAGCATTTTATTCCAGATGATCTTTAAATAAGCTAATTTAAGAAGTCACCTGTCTGAGCTGATGCCAGTTTAGTTGTTTCAGATCTTTAGAAACTGGTGGTTCAATGCTTATATGCAAAATGCGCTGGTTCTGGGCTCCCCGTGAGGTTCTGCAGGTTAGCACCTGTTCAAGCTGTTCAATTGGCCTCATTTAGCCAGTAACGAGCTGATTGAGCTCGTTAAGAGCTGAGCTGAAATGAGAACCTGCAGGCACTCTGGCCCTCCAGGAATAAGACTGGAAGCCCCGAACAATGACATGTGCCGAGAAGGACTTTCTGTTTTTCCTGTTGTCTCAGTCCTAACTCATCTGAGGCAGGATAAATATCCTGACAAACTTTCTACCAACATTTAATATGATTCAAGACATTGTTTCAAAATCTATTAATGCCTTTTGACATTTTAACTAATGTTCTAATTAATTGTTCATCAAAGACACTAATCTTTTTGCATGGACTCCTCTGCCTGTTATGGTACTGTGCTCATCTTCCCAGTATATTTCCTGGCAACCATCTAAGAGACATCTTAGCAAGAATCTAGCCATTAATCTAACAAACTGCTTTTTTGTCTTTCTGTTTAAACACATTTATCAGCACAGCCTAGCCTGAACTGAAATAAAAAAAAATAAAGACCTGACTTGTTTTTCAAGTTCAGTAATGAAGTAGGTAAGGAATTGATGATAGGAGAGATGTGGCAATAGAACTAAATCTAATAAAACAACTTTTAAAGCTATAAAGTAGGTTTTTTTTTTCCATTAGCTCCAGGGCAGAAGAAACCCAGACACTTTTCAGTTCAAAACTTCCAGACATTTCTGTAGGAATACGTCACATCCATCTGGAGACTGGACTTGCATCAGCTACGTTGCCTGCTGGCTTGCGGCCCGATTATTCTTGTCTTGGAAAGACAGGAGCTCCAAATCACCCTGAGAAAGAATGTGAACTGTTTTGCTTGGCTGAGGTTTCAGCTAGAGTACAACAGTTCACAGGGGTGTGGTGTATTTCGAGCTACCAACAGCGTGATTTTCCAAAGACGCTGAAGGGCACTTTAAGTACATTAAGTTAAATTTAGACAGCTGTTAAATTCTTCAGAAAGGCAATGCATCCAAGTTAAAGAATGTGAAAAACTGAACCGTGTTATAGGCACCTCTGGGGAATTCGTTTCCAGTGCTGATCAAGAGCAGTGCAGTGGGAGAGGAATTGTCAATGCTCTATATTTCTGATGAGATATTATATTGGGAAATTATATCAATATTAATTACTGTATATGAACAATATTAAGCTCATAACCACCTGATAGAGGCCTGGGTTCAGACTGCCAATAGTAAATATGCTTGGCAAATTGTACTTGTTCTTCTCAGAAAAAACAAAACAAGTTTCATGTCCAGATTTTTATTTGTGATGCATTTCACCTGTGAAACAGAATAAAGTGCTTTTCAAGAGAGTTCCTCCGTCTAGTTCTCTGCATAGCAAAAGATATGAGAATGCCACACATTAGATGCATTTTGGCAAAATCTAAAGAAGATGAAATGGAATTCTAAGCAGCAGTATATCATAAAGAACATTCAGAATAATAAAAAAAACAATAAATTCCCAATTTTCATAGAACCACATATGTAGGAGTTAAGGAGTTGTTCCTTAATATCAGAATATTTGTACCATAGTGGTGCTTATAGTAATACACTAAATTAACCACTATTTCCCCAGCAGTGGCGGTGGAGCTGGAATATGCGTGTCTGTGGCATGTCCTGTATATGGGAGAGACAGAGGGAAGGAGCATGGGGAGTCTTTTCACAGGGCCTGGCGCTGACGCGTTACAGCAATGTGGCTGTGCAGCTGACATGCTAATGGGGCATCAGGAGGCAGCAGTGCGAGGTGCCTGCCTCAGAGATCAGTGCTGTGAGGAAACTGCTCACCGCCTGAACCAGGCAGCCTGCTGCCTTCTGCTCCTGACAGCTTCGTAACAAATGTGCCTTGAAAGAGAAAACAGAAAACTTCCTCATGGAGCAGAATAAAGATGGCTGACAGGTGTAGTTTTTTTCCCTGAAAACACTATTTTCAGTCCTATTGTAACCAACAAAAACATGGAAAAGAAATTAGGCGATTTGTCTAAGATTTCCTATACAACGCCATTAGCGGGACCAACGGACTTTTTATCTTAACTGCATTTTCGATCTTGTTGGTGTGTCTACGCTGCACGGATTTATCATCTTTCAAGGAGATAGGATTGTCTGATATCAGTATGTTTGCAAGTTTTCCAGGTCTCTTTAAAGCTTTATCAGCTAAAGAGCTAAGAGAAGCTGATCGATCGGTCCAGTTAAGTCAGTAACTAGCAGGTTTAGCTTGTCCAGAGGTTTAGTTGGAATGACACCAGCCCACCAGGGCCAGAAGTGGACACCCCTGTCTTACATGCAGTTATATTCAGAAAGATTTTGGGTGAAGTTATGAAATGAGACTTTGACAAGCAATACGTCAATAGAGCTTTCGCAGTGGGCCAGAGAAAGGAGTTCTTAAGCTTTCACACTTGAACACATGAGATAAAATGTGGCACAGCGAGTCGAGGAGGGTATAAGAAAACAACTTAATCTACACATGGTTCAAAGCAGACCTTAAGAAAAGCATTCAGATTGAACCACTAAAGGGCAGCCATCTAGAAAGCCTTCTGCACCCACCACATTAAAAAGATAAGAGTGTACATTTGTCACTTCTGTAATTGGGACAGTAAAACAGCACCAGAATGTTAACCCTGTTCAATTCAGAGGTATTCAGTGAGCAGTCAATATAAGAGAGCAAAAGTGAGGAGGGTCAAATCAACAATAAAACAAAACACAATTTCGGTCTGTACAATAAATCAGTTTTACTGAAAAGATCATCATGTAAAATGCATCATCTGAAAATACAGGTAAAAAGTCATATAAAAATCAGAACACTATTTACAAAAAGCTTTTATTGCTGTTAATTGTTGAAGCTCTCTTTGTCACTGAGAGGAATGAAATGATATTCAAATGCAAAACCGGGGTGCAGATTGTACCTCTTCAGTAATGTATTATTTTTCAAACAAGTCCTGCACAGTACCTACACTTAGATATACTTATTTTACTTTAGTTTCTGGTTTAGGTTTAATTTGATAACCTGACCAGTCAATTGAACCCCGTCACTAAGAAAGAAGAAAAGAAATGTACGTTTTTTGTTTTTCTGCAGATCCAAGGTAGACAGCACAAAATCTCTGTCAGGACCCCCAGTTTTGTAAGAATTTAAGAATAATTCTGCTGTGGTTCTACTATGGAATTGTGGTTCAACAAATTCACCTTGAACTCTGCCAGAGCAGATTTGACATTCCTCCACCTTTGACACAGGAGAAAGGTTCCTCTTTGTATCCTGGGACCCACTGTCCTGGGAATGGACTCTGAAGACCTCTGGAGTCTCTGATCTCCTGAATGAAAACTCCTGATTTAGGTTCCATGTATAAGGTGGCCCAGTGATGATGTCTGTGAGTGTCCACATCTCAGTGTCAAACTACACTGCCCTACACAGTTTTGCACTGGAAAAAAACTGTTGGTCTCACGTCACATGTAAAGCTAATACGTTTTCCTAGAAATGTTTTTGGTTTAGGTGCAGATCTTTTCAGTCATTTCTTTCTGTAAGAAAAACAAAAGAGAGAAAAAGTCACAGAACCTGTCATGGAGAGTACAGTGCTGTATATACTTCATGGTCTACTACAGTATCTTTCCGCGGGTTTCGATAACGTTCTTGTTTGCTGGTAAATGTTTGCGAATTGTCTCTGCAAGGGATAATCTTCCAGCTTTCCTGATCAATACACACCGCAGCTTGGCCAAATTTGCAATGAAATGCTTACTAGATTTTGCTTTAAAAGCATGATGACAAAGCCTTTGCAGACTTGCTGAGACCCGCGTCTCGCCCTGTCCCGATGCCAGAGAGCGAGAGAAACTGATTCCCACTGGCGTGACAAGCTATCTGGCTTGGGAGTGGTCAGTTCACTCACTATGCTCAGGCTCTCTGCCTGCAAGAGTCACAGAAGGGCTGCCACCCTCCGCAGCCCCTACCAGCCACTCGTCCTGACATCAAAGGCCTGATCACTAGGGGATCTTTTTCTTCATCCCCTAATTACCTCTAAACAAGCGCCCAAGTAGATGAAAGTCTTTTTTTTTGCCTGTGTTTTTTTGTGCAGTTATATTCAATTATCCCCGGGGATGCGCGACGGGATCGTCTGTTGTTGTTATCATTATCAAGGAGAGAGGTAGTATTTAATGACGGGAGTGATTGTAATCGCATGCTTGGCGGGAATAATGAGGTGTTTGCGACAGAAGCACTGTGCCGTTTCCAGGACACCTTCACAGCCCATTGGGAGGTGTAAATTCTTTCATCAATACAGTCCTGCTGATGAAGCTCATGGGAGACACGAGCAGCTTGTTGGCTTTTTAAAAAAAATGTTGGAGAGACAATGGCTGCTATCGCGTACACCAGAGAGTAATTATATAACCTGACAAAACCAGAGGTGACGCAGCATTAAAAGACTGGAAACGCCTGCTGTCTGTGGCCTCAGAGACTGAGCGAGACTGGTTCTGGTCAGCACTAGGAGGAGGGACTCTCCATCTAATTCAGGCGCCTGCCTGAAGTGGCGCTGGTGGACCAATAGGTGGCGCCCTTCCTTTGGAAACCAATGCCATTGTGCAGTACAGGGGGATACTGTGTTATGGGCAGTGCCCTCCTTTGAATAAGACATTAAAGTAAAGTAGTGATATTAACCCAACTGTCCTGGCTAAATTCCACTCTGGGCTTGGACTGTCTGGCCTCCCTAAATCTCCCCTTTCACCCAGCTGCTGCTCCAGCTGATCCACAGTGTAGTGGGGTGCTGGGGCAGGATGGCAGCCACACGTCACCCCAGTGGGGGCTGCACTTGAGTGATTCCCCTCCTGTATATCAAGAGCCTTAAAATCCTTAAGGATCATAAACACTACAGCACATACAGCACATTAAGGGATTATTATATTTATTATCAAGTTATACTTCATACAACAGATGTGAAATACAACATAAAAAGCATCCAATGCAGAGAAGAAACATTGAAAAACATTCACTGAGCCCTGTAGCCCTAAAATTTATCCTAAACCTGCTTAATACACACTATATCACTCATTCGCTGCAACTTATTTTAGTACCAACTCAAAGACAAAGACATGAATACAGCAGGTGTAGGACAGGTACCTTCTGAGTAAACACCATCACACACACTCCTTTACAGACCACTAGCAATTATCCTCCACTCAGTATGGGTGTTGGTTTACAGCTGACCTGAAACAATGACCGGTCCCTGGCACTCAGAGGTCAAGGGGTATAAATGACCCATCTGTGAAACATGTTGTTGGGAAACCGCGTGTTTCAGTCCCACTCCTGTTAGTCCCTTTGCAGAAACAAGGCTATGGCTTGGATGAGCTCTCCCGCTTTGCGGAATGAAGGGAATTACGATCAAAGGACAACATCCTGATTCCAAAATGGTTAATAAGAAAATAAAATACAATTCCCCAACTCCCTCTATCCCGAGTGCAATCAGTCGGTTTCTCTGTCTGTGAGCAGGAGAAACGAGGGAGTAATAAACTAATTCCATTCTAATGAAGGCTGATGCTAAACACAATTAAGGAGCCAAGGACAGGCGACGAAACTATCCGCTTCCTCGGAAAATCTTCACAGGAGGCAGGCTGTGGGGAAAGGCCAGCTGTCTCTATTGGCCGCAGTTTCCCCCGACAAACTGAGGGTCGGACCTCTCAGCAGGATGACAGCAGTAAGGCGCTACAGGTGATAATTACAAATGTAAGGTAACATGGCCAGGCTGTGCTGCAGAAAGACTGGATTGGAATAAGTTGGTTTGAAGAGAGACCTAAAATCTCTTGCACGATGCTGAGATCTTAAACTGCGTGCTTGCTGATCTCAGTCAGCCTTTTGGATGGCTTTTTCAATTCCCCATAATTATCAAAACAGGATAATGATAATAAAAACCAATTACCACCACTGCAGGGTTTTGGCACTGGCTTGTGATGTGTTCCTTTCTGCTGCTTAGTGTTTGCACATCTTGGGTTAACAAAAGAAACTGAGAATCAGATGTGCATTTTTAACACGCTACTGTTATGTGTTACCACAAACATTCCAGTCCCCAAAAAAAGAAATTCTGCAGCATGGATAGAAGGTAATGAGAGGATTTGAAAATTAAGGATGCACAATGTTCTGAACACCATTAGTCCAGCGCTATGCTCCTGATCCTGTACATCTCTGCGTATTTCCCCAGCTTCCCCCTTTGGCTTGCAGTCTCCAGGAATATGTCCAGTGGCAGTCACTTATTCTGATGAATTGTTACAGAGAAATGAAGTAAAAGGAAGGGGAATACATTTTCACATCCAGATTATGTTTTTTTATTGGTTTGCGTTTTATCAGAAACTGCATCTAAATTGGGTCTTTGTTTAGTTCACTGTAGATTTAGATTCCTCCAGGCACTAATTAGCACCACCTCATAAAACACAGTTGTAGAAAAAAAAAGATGAAAAATAAAACATCCTCGGCTACAAGCAATCTCGATAATTGCAATAAAAGAGGATTTTAAAAAGACTCCTTAATATGTGGAGGTAGAAAAGGCATCTAAAAGTGAAGTCACCACAGTGGTTTCATCTCACCTTCTGTCTCAAATAATCAACAACTGGATTCTGTCCTGGCTCTGAGGTTCTGTGATGGCTGGTATACACAGAACACAGAACTGCCACCATACCTGGGGGGTCTGAACACAGAACTACAGTCATGGCTGGGGGGCTGGGCACAGTGTGGCATTGTGCTCTCATATCATTCTGAAATCTAAAACGAATACAGTGGCCCCCAGAAAAAAACTGCTGCCCTGCTCTTGATAACGCCAGCCAATGGGAGCCGCTGGCTGACAGATCTGGGCGCCCGGGGCAGTGGTCAGAGGATTATTAATAGGAATCTGACAGGCCGAGATGAAACTCTACCTAGAGCGACTCTGCCACACAGACAGGCCTGCGATACTGTCACTGTGAATAGCGAGAGAGCTGCACAAACTCCGCTGGAAGGTCAGACTGTTAATGCTGAGTATTCTCCCACCCTGACTGCATGGCATCTTGGCCCCAGCTGCAGGATTTAATTGTACACCTGACAGCATGCGGGCTGTGAGGCATTTCATTTTCTGTGCCGTCAGATAAAGACCCTCTGAGAATTGGTGTGCATGAGCTAATACTGCAAAATTACACTCTTGATCTTCCTCTTAGAGAGACTGTTTTCAGGCTGCCCCGTCAAACTAACGACCAGGGTCAGACGGTGCTTTTCAACAGTGCGCTCGGTTTGTTCAAAGAGCCGTCAGCCCCATCTTAACTTTTCAAAGATCTCAGATTCAGCTCAGCCTTGGTATACGAAAAATCAGGCAAAAACGTGAGTATAAAAAAGCTTGTAATCTCTTCCAGCTGCGTCATGCAAATTGTAATCACTTCCAGACGTCCCCGATATTTACAGTTGTAAACCTGTAGAGCTTCCTATTTTTTTGTTTTCATTTTAACAGCTCATAAAAACGTAGCTCTCTATAACTGCAGCAGTGGCAAAAGCAAAGGTCACAAACTCTATGGGAGGAGAAAGGGAAAACTAGTATTCATTCACCAGGAAAACCATGAGTCTATCTGTGATAACGTTACACTGGATCCGTTTAAAACTTTGTACACAGAAACAGAAAGCAGCATTTAATTGAACACAGAACGGAATTTCTGATTCAGTTTGTAATGTTTAATATATCTGAAGTCATGCACTTTGTCACAGGACACCAGCATTACATCAATTTCCCTACGGGATTAATAAAGTATTATTTATTATCTATCTATTAGCGGTGCATTCTCCAGTCACTAGTCTGCTTCAGATTAGAGGTCTCTGGTTACCAGTCACTGGTGTCCTACTGTACCTAGACGAAAGGTTTGTCTTTACTGGTCTGGCTTTACTTTTGAGAATTTCAGGTCATGAGTTTCTTGTTGAGAATTCAATGCATGGCAATGAGCAGCTGTATAGAATCAGCCAGGGGCACTCCATGTTTCGTAAATGTAGTGTGGGTTTATGAGCACTCTAGGTAAACGTCGTTCATGTGATTTAAGCGCAATTATCTTCCACATGATGGACTTGTCTGACAGCCACACAGATAGTCAAGCTGTAGGTTCAATACACTGTGAAAAAGCCAATTCAAACAGAAGGGCCACCCAGCATGCCCTGATAAACAGTCTGGCAAGTCATCTACAGATTTGCAGGCAGCAGTAAGGTGCAGTTGTTGGGGTTCTGGTCTTGTTACTAGAAAGTTGTGGGTTCATATCCTGGATGAGAAATGGCTGTTCCAGTAACCTAGTACCCAGCTGTATGAATGAGTGCTAAATTGCTTTGGATAAAAGCATCATCCAGTACATTAGTAATTAAAGCACTAGAGGTAGCAAGAGCTTTAATTAGGATCTTGTCAAGAGGCACTGCAAGAATAAAATCTGTTCATCCCTGGAGAAGACAAAGAACGCATTCGATTTCAGAAGCACATTAGGAAATCCTCGGGCTGATTAAATGTTATGAAAAACCCATGCTTTGCTTGTTGCTTTGTTTATAGAACATATAATTTTTTAGATCCCCATAATGTGATCTCAGAGATTTGCAGAAGTAATGCGGGCAAAGTCATACACAAGCTGTGTCGGCTTCAACACACGAGAAAAGCCTGTGTTTGAAAGATTTGTGTAAAACCCCCTCTGTCTTCACTTTCTTATTTTGAAAGAAATAATGTTTGTCCCAGAGTCTTGAAGCTTAAGAAGGGTCATGTCTATAGAAACTGCTGAAGCCCCTCTGCTTAACAAATGCACTGGACCTTTCTGCTCTCTTGAAATATTAACGTTGCTCTGCCCTGTACGCCTCCCCAAGGAGGCAGGGGGACAGGAGCACATCACAGCCAGGAAATCAAATGTCTCTGCTGAACAAGTCAAGGAACAGCTGCCCTTCACTCCTGTGTGACACAACCGCACTACTGGGAACACACTGAGCAGAGCCCAAGACTGCGGGCCTCCCTGCTCACACAGATCTTTATTATTATCAAATACACACGTCCCCTTCCGTCTTCTCTCCTGCCTTGGATAGCCTGCCTGCCCCTTTTCTTCTATTAACTTGGATTCCCCGACTGCACCCAACGAGCAGATGTCCTGAGCTACAGAGTGCAAAGAACATTCAAGTGTCAGACTGCAACAAACTTCCTGAAGCTCCGAACCTTCTCTTGCTCCAGTTGATCACGCTGGAGGTGCTGTTTCTTTAAAAGACACCTGTTTGGCAATGCTCTTTCAAATATCAGCTCTCTTTCCTGCACAACAGTGTCTCTACCTTTACATTGGGTACCAGGAGTTGAGCATTCTGTACTGGGCATCAAGTTAAGGGGATGTAGAGGTTTGTCATTGAGCCGGAAGAGAGCAAGGGGATTACATAATACAGCCTAGTTTACACTTGGGTATTAACATAAGACTTTCCTGGAATCATTCATCTGGAATTTGAGGACCTGCCATTTTCGGGTTTATCCACTGGGATTTAATGCCTACCCGGAATAAAAGAGACAATCCAAGATTGATGCAAGCATTTCAATGAGGATTCCCTTCAGATCAGCTCTGGACATTAAAGGTCAACAACTAAAAAATGAATCTATACAACCTAATACCACGCTGGTAAAATTCATTAGTGCTGTTTCGTCATAGGAGTTCCAGATAGACTTCCATGAATTGTTGTGATTAGGGGTGTTTAATATAATGCGTTATTTGGTTATTTGGTTTTGGGTGGGTATAATAATAATTCCTTACAGTTATATATAAGCTTTTCTGGACACTCAACTCTAAGCGCTGTACAGGTAATGGGGACTCTCCTCCACCACCACCAATGTGCAGCCCCACCTGGATGATGCGACGGCAGCCATAGTGCACCAGAACTCTCACACCAGCTCTCAGTGGGGAGGAGAGCAGAGTGATGGGGCCAGTTCAGAGAGGGGGATTATTAGGAGGCCATGACTGGTAAAGGCCAGGGGGAAATTTGGCCAGGACTCCAGGGAAACACCCCTACTCTTTTCGAGAAATGCCCTGGGATTTTTAATGACCACGGAGAGTCAGGACCTCGGTATTCCGTCTCATCTGAAGGACGGCGGCTCTTTTACGGAACAATGTCTCCATTACCAACCGGAGGCATTAGGACCCACAGAAACCCCCCCACACACACACACACTCACCAAGGGCTCCAGCTCGGAGTGCTCGATGAGGCTGAACTCGGTGATGAAGTAGTAGTAGTGCTTGTAGCAGGTGTTGATGTGGGCCTCCGCCCCCATGCTGCAGATGCGGTCGAAGTGGTGGATGTAGACGTGCACGAAGACCCGGAAGAGCCGGCTCAGGATCTTCTTACAGACCTGCTGGAAGTTCTTGGGGAAGGGGACCCCTAGAAAGAATGAGATCAGCCTGTCACAGCGACACAGGACACAGGGACACAGCGGCTCCTGCCTTCCTTCAGAGCTTTGCGCTGGTAGACAGATCCCCCCAGCATCCATGACTGCCTTTCCCCTGTAGCCAACTTCAGTGTTTACAAGTCAAATACTGGAGGCTGAAAGAACGACCATTCAAATCAGTTTCAGGAAATACCTAATATGGACCACAACAGGAAAGGCTAGAAGGGTGCTGGAGGCGTCTCTTTTGATGCAAAGGGTGTTTTGCTTTTTCTTGGTTACCGTTCCCCTTTGAAACCGGAGGGCCTTTTTTTTTTTTTCTTGCCATTTTTTTTCGGGATTTTGAAAAAAAAACCACAATATATCATATAGTGCTCCAGAGCTATCCATTGAATTATATTGGATTCTTTAAATTCTGTTTATGAATGTCATAAGCCCAGTATTCAATAAACAGTAGCACTGGTGCATTAGAACACAAGCACGGTCTCGGACGAGAGGAAGACTTTTTGGTAATTAGCCGCTAAATGATTGAAGACTTTCATCCAGCCGTTTCTTGGAACAAGCCAGGGTATCGACTTCAACAACATGACTGTGTAGCTTGTACCAAGCTCCCACAAACCTTGGTGTCAAGAATTACACCCTGTTCTCATTTTAAATGCATTTCTATGTAGCTTCCACTTGTGCCCCCTGGTGTACGTTTCAGAATTCATTCTGAAGAAGGCGGCACATCATGAAGGTAACAGCTTTAATAATTCAAACCCAATGTCTCCTGTCCTGCACGGCAAGGACGCCATAGGCCAACACTGGGATCAACTGGGCAGTACTGTCTCCACGGCAGGCTGTTAATGATTTAAACTGGCCATTTCGGCTAATTGTTTTCCAGCCAAGTCCTCAATCCTCTCCCCAGCCCCTGCAGCTGCGTTACACTGATGTGTGAGGAACATATCCTCTCCCGTCACCCGGATGACTTCTTTCAAATGTCAGCATCACGATTTTAATTAACCCCTCTGACCCCTGCTGGATGACACCAAGTACAGAAGGCATTTTCACTGCTCGGCTGGCCTTCCCACTGCATCACAGAGAGCTTTGCAGATGCACCGTGTTGAACACAGACAATCAACCTGCATGCATCTATTTTCTAAAAGGATTTTTCTCAATCTCCGCGACGGACTAGCTCCCCATCCAAGGTGTGTCCTGCCCTGTGCTCATTGCCTGCTGGGTCAGGTCCGGGCTCCCCCAGGGAACCTGTACGGGATAAAGCGGTCAGAAAGTGGACAGATGGATCTTCTCCACCGATGGACCCCGGCCGCGTCGCAAATGTGGTGCTCGGAAAAGCCGCAGTCCCGCGTGGCAGAGAATCGCGACACACTGTGGAGCGCGAACGCTGAACGGGTAATCTTACGGCGGAGTGTGGTCTAGCAAAGAAATGAAAGTGTAAGCCAATGTCAGTGCGTGGCTGTGGTGGTCAGACATGAAAGACAAAATGTAGATACTGCACCGTTAAGTACTGTAGGTGCTCTCCTCGTAATTATACAAAATTGGTTTAAAACCTGCAGAGCGGAAAATCAATATTCTTGCACGCTTGGAGACGCTTTCAAAACCAGATGCATACTGTCTTCACGTTCAGAGCTTCTGTCTTTTTACTCTCTCCTGGTTTGGCCTTAAGGATACTTAAATAGAAAAACGTCATTAAGTTTCAAGGAAAAGCAGATGAGGAGCAAACGGACCATTATAATACAGCATAATCCCGTCTACCCAGAAGGGACAGCACGGCTGGGGATTTGGGTTGAGGGTTCGAGTGCCCAGTCCAGATATGGGTGTTTTTCTCTGCAGAGCAGTGCATTTTAATCCTGTTGCACTAATACTGTGAGTCCAGCATCCTCTGCTAAAACTAGTCTCCCAGGCAGGAGGAGATTGTTTCAATGTGCAAAACACTCAGGAGCTCAAGGACTGAGTCAGATCAGCTAAAGAAGAATGTTGAATCTACCAAACTAGGACCACAATCAGACCCTTTAACTGAAGCACTGAAAGGTCTTGTCAGCTCCTGATTATAGCTTAGATACAGTGCACTGACAAGCAAGTCCTGTAATCCTGCCTGTAATTGCTCCTTTAAAAACAAAATAAAATGTTTTTTATGTTTATTATTTTTTTAAGCATCATGAAAATGTAATTGAATGCTTCACATTAAAATAGAATAATTTCCCCGACACAGTAAATATGTAGATGTTGGTGCCAGTCAGGAAATGAACAGAGACGGGGATTTCTGCTCTATTGTCTGGAATACTACTAATATAAAAAACAATAAAAGAAATTATGTTGTCCTTAGGTTTCCTGCCCTCAGGACACAGTGGTGAAACTGTAGTTCTCACGTACGTAATTTACTGCATCCAAGAGGGTTCTTTATAGAAAGAATGTAACAAAGGCTGCATTTTTCAGGTTGGTCTGTTCAGATCGAGATGGTTCCAGCTCAGGGCGTGAGCAGCCATGCCCCTGAGCACAACAAGGTAGCACCCTACCGTTTCCAGAACAGGGCCAGACCCAGAGATGAGCACAGAGGAGGCTGTTTTTCTCTCCTATAGCCACAGGGGTGAACTTCTCCACGGTCCCAGCAGAGGTCGCCCTAACGCAGCTGCCTCTCTGCTAGACCAATTACAGCCCTGGACGGTGCTGCGCCCAGACCTTTCACTCTCCTTTTATACATTCCAGAAGAGTGCGCGTCCGCACTCGCCAGGGGCTCTTAGGCAGAAGCGCGCACCTACCTATCCGGGTGGGGAAGATGTTCTCGTTGTTGATGAGCGTCTCGATCCAGTCCATCAGCAGGTTCATGTACTGCAGGGCGGGCAGCTTGGTGGGCTTCTTGTAGAGGTGGCCGTCCTGCCAGCGGTACTCGTAGCGCTGGCCGCCGGACATGACGGGGCAGGAGCGCTCGGTGCAGAACTCGCTGACCGTGCCGTAGATGAGGTTGATGCGGTTGAAGAAGTCCACCACGTGCACGGCGATCCAGTCGTTGATGCTCTCCCCCTCGGGCAGCTGCACCACCTTCCTCAGGTCCAGCCCCGACTTGAGCGACGCCTGCGCTTTCTTGTACAGCTCGAAGCGCTGGGTCCCGGGTTCGAAGCGCTTCCGAGGCCTGAAGGTCTTATCCTTGCTGAAGACCTGTCCCAGACACAGGGCCATTCTGTTTAACGCCAGGGGGAGGGGCAATGGGAAGATTCCTGGGTATTTATCTGGGAAACCTCTGGGGGTCCTGGATTCCGGATGGGACGTCCCGACTGAACGGTCCAGCTCCTCCTCAAGAAGCAGAGCTCTCTGTCCTCTGAAGCAGCGGGTGGAAGGAGGGAGGGGTCCCGCTGTGAGGAACAGTGAGGGACAGTGACGTCAGTGAGAATCACCCGCAATCCTTCGCTATCACTGAAAGAAATAAGGAGGCAACAAAATGGATTTACTTGGTCAAATTCTACAAGTCATAAAAAGAAAACAGAAAAAAAAATGCAAGTCGCTTCAGAAGCTCTGAAACGCTAGTAACGTTTTTTATTAGAAAGTTGCTGTTTATAGTAACCTCAAGCATGCAAAATCTTCAGTTTTCTATCTTTGTTCTTTCTCTTTTTTAGAAAGAGTGTGCCGAGCGACGCAGCTCCCTCAAGGAAGATGGAAGAAGGCTGTCTTTAACTTGCACCAGGAGTGGGCTGATCTTCAGGACTAGAATTATGAGAAATCTCGAGTTACGCTGAGGTATTATTTAGGGTCAGACGCAAGATTTCAGGATTCCCCATCTTGACGTAAAGACACGTAACGGCCTTCTTTGCTCCCCTTTAAGTTTGGACTGATGCTGCTCCAGAGGAAATTGATATTTTCCACACCCGTTTTATCAGCTGGGCAGCAGCAGCTTCTGTCATGTCTCCTCAACGCTGATTACTTGGAGGAGTGCAGAGGGGCGGGCTCGTGAGGCATGGGGAGCCTGAATTTGCACAGACGTGCTCATGTACTTCCCCATCTCACTTCCTGCCCAGCTGTAGCCAAACCTTCTTTTTGGCCGTGACTTCCCTTCCACGTGTTGTCCTGCACCTTTTCCCCTCCGCAAAAATCGGAACGGCGCGATTAGAAATCGTTTCGGACCGTTTGAAACAGACGGCAGGCAGGGGGCGGAACATGACATTTTTTTTGGCCGTACGTGTGTCATCAGATCGGACTGCATTGCAAAGGCTTCCGCCAAGGCCGCGCACATCTGGTGGTCTGAGATAAGCAGCCGGAACAGCGGGAATGGGCCTCACAGCACTTGCTTCGCTGTCACCCGGGCCGGGCCAGGAAACTGCCCCTTTCTCGTCTACCCAGCCAAGAACGAAAAGCTTGTGTCACCATGTGCTTCGCTAACATCTGTCGCTTCCTTCCAATTAGTCATTGTCTTGCTGCGACCCCTTTCTGAGAAAGTCGGATGATTACAGATCACTAGTTCCTGATTTTACTGTACGCGCGACAACCTGCTCGCATCCACAGTATAACTGCGATTTGCAGCGCAAACAAAACTGTGATGATGTAAAATATCATCTAGCATTACTCAATCATCACGTTTTATAACATTGAAAACTAGAGGGAAAAAAAGATTTGAGCAAATCATTTTTGTAATCAATAATCTTTTTAAGTGTCTTTTAAGGACAAACATCATGTCATTGACCTTGATAAGTGATTGTCTTCTAATGTAAGTCTTGCAAGCTTAGATATATTTATTAATTTAACATGCCATGATTTCTGTGCACTTGGCCATTTCTATTATCTACTTGTTATATTATATGTCCCGATATCTTTTTTATACATGTTTCTTTTATCTTGTTTGTTGTGTCCTGCCCAAGGACTACAGCTGCAAATGAGCTTCTGAGCTAGCTCTGGTGCAGCCTAAGAGCTGTGCGCTGCCCCTGTTCACTAGACTAAACCAGGACCTCTTTCTTCAGCGTGGAGTCTCTCTCCTGCTTGCTGCACGAACAGGAACAGGTGAGAGTCTGCACTTGAGACAGAGCCAGTGTGGGCTGTCAGGTCAGGTCAGGCCACGGACAGCATACCACAGCAGTCCAGCAGCACTGAACAAGCAACTGGCCTTCCGACACAAACACAAAAAAACAGCCTAAGTATTTAGCTATCGTGATCACTGGAAATATATTAACAAACTGAATGTGTAAGAGAATGTATTAAAAAATGCAAAAGTGAGAATAATATAGAAAACATAGAAGAGATTGTTTCTCTTTAGTTCTTATTTATCTCACCATGCTGTATGTACAGTATAACCAGACGATATTGAGTATGTAAAGTCAGATGAAATGGTTTAGTGTTCAGACCTGCAGTATCAGAAAATTTATAAAAGTGTCAAGTTCCAAATATTTACGTTTTTTAGTTTAATAATGAATAAAAGAAGGAAGACCGAGACAAATATTATATGAGGGTTTGTTTTTGCTTGCTCACCTAACAGACACAGCAGCATTAAAGGAAAAGACTGAACATGGAAACTCAGTTAATGGTGTCTCCAGTACATACTGGGGGCACTGTCCATCTCAGAATAGGGCAGTATAGGCCTGTGTCACATTGACTTCAGTAAGAGTCTGACCACTTGCACACAAGCAGGCAGCAGTTGTTGACAGTCACTGAGCTGATGGTAAAAATCAATATTTAAAATTAAAGTTAATGCAGTTTCCCCACTTAGCGTAGGGGCATTTTAATTTTAAGGTGCTTTTTCTTTTTCCCAGACTCCTTCTTCTTTGTTAATGCTATCTTCATCTTGCATGAGTTTGGTTTGGGTTTTCCGTGCGCGTTTGGACCAAAGGATTTAGGACTTGGATCAAATGGCCAGGATTATTCAGGACAGTAACAACACTGAAGCACTCTACCCAGCGTGCTATTCAGTGCAATGTGTTCACCCCCGGGGAAATTAAACACTGCAGTTTCTAATGCAGGCTTGAAATTAGATCAAAACTATAGCAGCTTTATAGCCTCATGTTCAGCTACAGAGACTTACTGGTCCTTAGCAATGTGTCAGTGCAGGAGAAGAAAAACAAACTCATCCATCACTTTGCGCCCAGTCCTCAGCACAAGAGACAAGGGTTTCAGTTTAACACCTGTCTCAGTTAACTCACTGACACACCTATGAAAAAAAAACACAGATCATTTTTTTTAAATCTTAAAAACGTTTAGTCTGTCTTGTTTCTAATTACTTGCTTGATAAGAACTACAGTACCTATTTTTGACACACACAACCCCCAAACCGAAATTGTTTGAATGACTAAGTTTCACTTAATTCTATTCATTGTATTATATCTAGTGTGTGTCAGATGCAATACATAGACGAATGCAAAATGAAGGTTCTCGTAAAAGTCTGAGGATCTTGGGGCAGAATAAAATATCAACACGCTCTGCAACAAATATAATGATTGACCAATTTTAAAGTAGCTCACATAACGACTTTAAAAGCATACTTAATAAAACAAACCCTTCCCTCCCACTCAGGACAGCTTTAACCAAATAACACGAAATACGATACAAATATTCAAACGGGATGGGTGTTACATGATCAACTTATGCTAAACTCCTTCTGAAAATTTGACTAGGATTAGTCACACACCCTTTTTCACTGCCGGGATGGTAAGGGGAACTACTTGCGACTGGAGAAGAAGCACAAGTGGAATTAAGACCACAGGCGGCAACCACACATCAGAGACAGACTGAGGGAAGTTAGGAGGTGGATAATGAAATTGTCCGTCTCCTGAGATTCTACAGCCAGCCGAGCCAATACAGCCTGTCTGGAAGAGGGTGACCCTTTCCTAGCAAACAGATAATCAGACAACCTCTGAAGCAACTCTGATGTGTGAACTGGCTCAATAACATCGCTGATTTGCAGATAAGGGACTGTACCACCGTCCAAAACTTGGTCCTGAACTACTTTTCTTCATAGGGGGAGTCAGTTAACAGAGACTTAGAGGCTAGTGGGCTATTAGTCAGTGTTTGTCATTCATCTAGCTGTGTTGGGCCTTTGGTTAAAGTACAGTGGCATTTCTACATCTGCATATGTGACCTGCATCCTGCTTCATTAAGGACTTGCTCTGCATTTCCTGTCTTTGTCTTATATCCTGCGTTTTCTACAGTATACTGTACATTTTACCCCTCTTGTGCTCCAGCAACGTATGCAACTTTGTGGGGAACCGAGAAACATCACTTAATCTCCATATGCAGATTCACCATCTTCTGATTTTGATTATAACAACATGCCAAAATGGGAACTTCAGTGTTTTTTCAAAAAGGGAATGCTGGGAGATATTTATAGTTTTTTTTTTCCATTTGGTTTTGCTCTGCCGCTGCTCAGCAGGATACTGCTTCATAGTTCCCTTTCAAAGAAGGCTCAGTTAGAGGAAATGATCGATCTTCCTGGCAATGTGTTTTTCTTTCGTGAGACAACAGGTCTTCCCCTGAAAGGAGAGGCTGTCTGCCCTGCCTTCAGCCTCCATCTGATATCTGACACACGCACCACAGTGTCAGGAAACCAAAACAGGTCTGATATACGTTTGTCCCTGTGACGCAATGGCAATGATGGGCCAGAGGCTGAAGATTAATTCCACAAATATTTAAACTCCCCAGGCTGAATTAGAGAGCTTGTCTGTGAAATGGGCATAAAACATGAAGGAGCTGTATTAGTCAAAACTCTGACTCTTCATGCTTTACAAATCTCACAGTTAGCCTCTATGCCTGTATTGTCCCAAAAACGTCTTCTTAAAAAGTTATTGTAGAAGCCCTCTGCCTATCTTCAGCTGACAACGCAAAATGAAAAACCAAAGGAGCTTAAACCAACAGTGGAGTCTGAATCAGAAACTACTGTTCTCTGAACCCAGAGTGCCCCCAGAGATCTATAAGCCTTCATGTTTCAACATAAAAGCTGTTCTGCAGCACTACGAGGGTGAGTGGATCTAGAAACATCTGTGAACACCCCAGCAAGAGCCCAATACTCCAAAAAGTACGCACTGTGTGCCTCCTATACCCTCTTCCCAGATGGGATGACTAAGAACAAAAGTGAAACAGTAATGAAAGATTACTTTGGAAAAAAACACAAAGTGTATTAACAATTCATTAACAATATTGAATAATATATCAAAGGAAGAAGAAAATAAACTTCTTAACCATTAATACGGTACCTGGCCAGTTTCCCAGCATGGACAGATCGGATTGGAATGTCTGAAGCCGTTTGCTGTGTGGAGTGGCCGGAGACCACTGTCCGTCTCTTTTTAAACCTCCTTTCCTGAGAGGAATTAAATTTGGTACCAGTTTATTTCTGCTGTGGACACTCCCTCCAGATCAGCAATCGGGAGTTTTGGAGTCACCAGCTCCAGTTCACAGAGAGAAAAAAAAATAGGGAAAAAAAAAGTGTTTGGGGCTTCTTTTTTTTTTGTGCTGGCAGTGATGTCACATCCTGATTTTGTCTTGCAGCCTCGGCTGTGTGTCTTTGGAAAGTGTAAGCTGATACAGGAGGGGTTACACTGATGAAGTGTGTGTGTCGGGAGGGGAGTCGCACATCTCTCCGCCCTTTTCCAAACTTCTCTGCCACTCCTTTTCCCTCCCCGTCTTCCCAAGCCATCCCACTGCCAGCTCTTCCTGACCAAACTCCCTTCTCTGCCTGAGTCAGTGAGGCACTGTGAAGGCAGCAGTGAATTGCAGTGCAGTACCACATATAGCACAGAGCTCCCTCTGCTGACTGAAGGAGGTCATTGTCATGAGCACAGCTCCAGGGTGCACCGAGAGGGCAGGGTCTGCTGTCACACCATGCTCCTGACAGCCTAGACTAGAGGAAAGTTTGACAAGAGCACAATTCCCAAAATAAAAAGGCCTTTGACACATAAAAAAATGCTTCTTGACAAGCGTTGTGCACTGCAATGAAGGTATAATCCATAATTGTGGACTCTTTTGTCCATATTTGGCTTCCTACACATTTCAGAAAAGTTCCACGCATGCATCTGTTTACCAGTTAATAAGTACAGGTCAGTCTTGCTCTTCTGACGGGCACTGACCTGCAGGGTCGAGCTCCCAGCATACAGAGTAGGAATTTTTAAACCCAGCCTTTCAATGCAGCTACTTCTGGAGGTCTTTCTTCCACCACGCCTTCGGTTTATTTACTATAAGAAAGGTGACAAACGACAGGAGGCCATTTCCCCAGTGTAGCTCATCTGGCAGTCCGTAGCTAATTGATCAGGGGATCTCATCCAGCCATTTCCTTGAGAGAAGCCAGACTTCTTTTTTCAACCCTGGCCATGTTGCAATCAAACCACAAATGACCATATTTGCTTAGCTGAAAACAAACAAACAAACAAACAGTTCCTTACTTATGCACATACTGTAATGATACATAATGATGCTCTTTGTTGACTTACGACACTGTTGATCTAAATATAGCTGAAAAGGCATCTTCCCAAAAGCCTGAGAGTGCACTGGCCTGACAGAGAAAGCTCACATCTCCCCGAGATGCTCTGCAGACTGACGTCAGGGCAGCAGGACCTCACTGGATCACATGATCTCACACATGACCCAAGGGGGCTGGGACTCTGCTGTGTGGCCCATGTCCCTAGAGAATCCTAACGGCCTGGGGTGATCTTTGATGCCACGAATCGAAGTGGACACAAAGCGGATAGATAGTGACCCCAAGACAAGCTACTGTGGGCCTGAAATTTACATCGTAAATAGGCGTGGAACTGTAGCAGCACGGAATCCGTAGGCATGTGGCTGAAGCTGACTGTCATTACTGTTGACCTTTGTGAAAAGTGAGCTCGATGTTTGAGAGAAGCATACAGTTGCGTGCATTAGGGCAAAATCTGAGCTGAAAACCTAAGCATGGCAGACTAACTTTTTCAAAGCAACTTTGTACAGAGTGTGTGCAGCAGAATGCACCAGCAATTATTACCTTGTTTTAAGCACGCCTACTATAAAATTGCAGGATAATGCATCAACTACTGGGATAACTTCATTCTGTTTTAATTTGGTGTTCTTGTGATGTGCAAAGTTCTGCTGGTGTTCAGTTTATAGAAGTGCAGAAATGTGGTCCTGGCCTGGGGCCTTACTCCTGACCTGGCTTGAGAGACACCTGCTGTTGTATGTGGCACCTCAGGAATAGCAGAAAGGTGGGAATAGCATCATCAGGAATAGCCACACAGGGGTTTTGGAACTTCTATTGCAGAATGGTATCCAAAACCCACATTACTCTTAAACTTGGATCACACCTCCCCTTTTCTCTCAACAAAAGAATGGTCTCCCTCTAAATCCCCTAAAATCATCTGTGGATTTCAGCTTTTCACACCTCTCCTGTTCTCCCTTAGGAGTCTGGACACTCCTCACCTGCTGTGCGTTCATTTCCTCCCTGCCCCCTGCCCCTTCTCCCCTGTGCTGCCCCTCGATCTCCTCTGGCTTCTTTCTGAGCAACTCTCCCTCTCTCCCTCGCACCTGCGGAAGACTCGCAGTCGAAACGTTGTGTTTCTTCTCCCCCCATTTTTCAGCTGGGAATGAACCTCTGCCTGTTCCCTTTCAGCCTACACCTGCTGACGCAGCTCCCTGGTCACACCTTTCTAGATGTTATAGATAAACCAATTCAGCCCGGATTTGTTTGTTTTATTTTTTTTTAAGTTGATTGTGCTGCACAGACATTGTTACAACTAACACATGTTGGATTAGCTCCTCGAAGCTGTTCCTTTCTGTGTGGCCTTGCGGTGGACTGGTGTCTCACCCAAAGAAAGAAGACAGCCATTTGCTTGCAGTTTTGTATTTTGGGTTCTAAAGACTCTCCGCAGGCTTTCTGACAGTGAATCGGAAGCAGAAATCTCTTCGTTTTTCTTTACTGACCAAAGATTTTCACAAGAGATACTGCAGTTTTCCTGACTACAACTGGTAGTTCTTCCTCGTGAGACTGAAATCCTTCCATACGCAGGCAGCTTGCAAATTCTGTGAGAACAATTTCATTATAATGGCTGCAAGGCCTGCAAATAATTGAGGGACTTTACAGAGTTTACTCATAGTAGAGCCACATGGTTGGGAAAATGCTAGAAAGTTCACTCCTAATTGATTTTTCAAAACGTAATCGATTAATTATTAAAATTATTATCCAGATAAAAATACAAAAAAGTGGTAAACACTGCCCCCTGCAGGTAATAAAGGTCTTTCACATCACTTGTTCATAGCAAGCAGAAATTTCCATTTTTGTAGGTAGTTTTTGCAGGCACCAAATTAGAAACAAAATAAATTACTACACTGCATGTCCATGTAGTCTTTAAAATCAGAATTCCTGTTCATTTGAAGCCCTTTCTAAACCATAAAAGTCTTCATCTTATAAATTTAAATATACATTTAAATGTATACATTTAAAGGTATACATTAAAATGTTTTTCAAAAGTCATTGCTTAACTTTTAAAACTTAACAAAAGAGCGTTAAAGGGAATCAGTCACAAAGTCCTTGATTTGAAATTGAAATCTCCCCCACGTGAAGTTAATATTTCTTTTCTCAGGTGCAATAAGAGTGTTGGAGCAGCAAAGAGTAGCAGGAGAGTATATTTACGATTTGTCCAAAGATGAAAATCTGAGATCTGTGCTTTCTGTGTTTGGGAGGCAGCTTGATCCCAAAATCACGGACAAAAGACTCGTCTCTCCTTTTTCGTGTTTCTCTTGTCAGACTTGCTCTACACGTTTTTGCTGTTTTAGTTTTACTGCTAAGGCAAATCATTTAGCAAGAGATTAGGGGAGTTCTTTACTCCCTGAGCCTCACCAAGAATCTTTACTTGAACATCCCCTCAGCATTAACAATGAACAATCCAGCCATTTACAGAACCCACGAGCTGTGAATTTCCAACTTATGTTCATGCTGGTCTATTATTTTCCTTTAAGGAGGCAAAATCAATTTTAAAGAATATAAAAAGTGTAACAAGCTAGTAAACTGTGATTAATTTGGAAAACGTAGATCTTTTATTCAGGAACAAATCCTTTATTCAGCAGTGCTCAATCTGTCATGAACAATGTGCTTAAAGAAGTGATTTACATATCAGACACTGTGTTTTCATTTGAATGAATTCACAGAGATAATTCCCATTATCTCTGCCTTTGAGAATCACTGTCATTTGTATTTATAACGGCTTTAAAGGAAAATCCCAAAACCTCTGTTTCTGTTTACAAATGCTTTCTCGCATTGACAGGTGAGGAGAATTGCCTCATTTTCCTCTTCTATGGGGGGGGGAAGCTATATATTCTAGTGGCCTTTCTTCATTTTTTAAAGGCTAAATCACCTCTTTCGGTATCACCACAACCCCGCCTTTCCTGATGAACCCAGCAGTCAGTTCCTACAGTTCCACTCCAAGGGCCTTTAGTGATTCAAAACATGTGTGTCTGACAGCCTGAAGTCCCTCATACCAACTGCTTATGGGACTCCACTGTTGTAATGGTGCAAGGGACAAAGGACGAGTGATCTCTGTGCTCTTGACCTGCTGTGTTCCTCTCGGACTCACGAGTGTACTCCAGTCTCATTCTGCTGGCTGGGACATTGCTGTGCCTCTCGTGGTCTTCCCTTATTTCTTATAATATGTATAATTTCTTTATTTCATTTAACGAACCATCTACAGTATATCATCTTCCACTCTGTACATGATACTACTTTTTATTGGAACACTTAGGGGATACCTCATTTGGATAAATGCCAGCTTAGTAATAAGTCAGGAGAAAACATAATCTTTGAATTCAATGGCCTGGAAAGACAGGGCTCCACTTACAAGTACAGGCAAAACTAAATTATTCCAGTTGGCCAACATGACGATAATTTCACCTCTTCTTCCTTTTGCACTTCTCTTTCTCATCTTGACAGTCCGTGAGCCAGTAAGAGGTGAGGTTGACTTCAAAGACTTGTATCCCTACTGTCATGTCTGAAAAGGCCAATTCTAGGGGTTCATGACATAACTAATAATAATTAGTTTAATAACTAAAATAATTTCTGAAAGAGTCTACTTTATTGTATTGTGACGTTGTTTCCCCTGCAGCATCCCAAAGATTATTCAACTATGTGAAGAAGCGCTATCTTAATTGTTGATCTCTAACTTAACCTGTTAATACAACCTCCTACACAGAGAGAGAGGCGCTCAGTATAAAAGCTTGCTGATTGTATCAGTTCTATACAAATTCAGCCCTGCCACAGCACAGGAGGGCCTTCAGATGGAAATTTAGTGGAGTAGTATATTCCACGAATGCGTTTCAAGGCGAAGCTACAATCCATCACATGTAAGGAATAAATCACTGTTTATCAACCAGGCTGATTCAAGTACAACTTTGTGAGCGTCTCTTCATTTACTCCTCACATAACTGCAACTGGAGGCAGAAGAAAACAAAAAGCCCCCAGGAGTTATTCAGCGAATTAGCTTAAATTGATATGAACTTCAGTTTATACTAGTCATGAGTTAGAGGAGATCCAAGGCACAGAGGTGGGCAGGGGCATCTGTCCGACACCGGTGTTGCAGAATCACTTATAATAAGATCTTGGTTTAATGTTTCAAGCATGGAAGAGAGAACAAGGGTGTAGGGTTACATGTTCAGGGATGGGCAGCAAATCTATGAAATGCTGGACAACAAGCCCCAGTCCCTCAACGACAGGACCACTCAGCGTAACCAGGGGTGACACTCCAGATAATCAGTTATGCTTAGTCAGCACCTACCGCACCCAGCTGAGTAGCTCCTCGTGTAGATAAAGGCCTTTTATGCGTGGGTCAAGGGTCAGTTCGTCAGACGATTCCCCAGGCAACGCCTCTGTGCGCTGAAATGAAATTAATGGCGGCTTGAAGGTGAGCAAGCTCTTGGAAAAGCTTGGGCATCACCTGCTTCTTTTCGTCATCCAGACCACCCCCTCCAGAGCATGAAGGGTAACACACTGTAATACACTGGGCTAGTTCTCCCACTGAAGCGGCCTGGACGACAAGGCAACAGTAAACAGCCAAACTACTGTACATATCCATCCTGTTTCACTAACCACTCTGTCCCCAGAGTGATGTGGTGAACTGGAAACCCCAGGCACAGGACAGGACACAAGGCAGGACTATTGTGAGATGCCTAGACCTAACGTGACTTTCCTAACCTGGACCAGCATGCCTCTGAACCGTGCCAGGAAACAGTGAGCACAAGAAGAACATGCAGACTCCACACGGACAGCGCTCAATTCAAACCCAGGGTCCTGGTGCCGTGAGGCAGCAACACAGACCACTGCTCCAGTGTGCTGCTCTGCTGTACATCAGCTTGACAGCAGCTCACACTGTGTCACACAGCTGTGTCCAGGGTGCCGATTCGAGATCAAAGACCCGTGGATATCAACCAGTGACCCCTTACATCCAGCGCCCCATTTCTACATTAAAGGATCATATGAGGCATGCTCAACAAAATAAACGTCCTAAGGATTTCAGCTTGGTCATATCTACCACAGTAATTCTCATTTTAATCAGGCTGCGTAGATTGCAAAATCCGCCGACAGGCCCTTGTTGTCTGTTACTGTTTTTTTTTATTAAGTATGAACAAATGTTATCTTCAATTGTTGAAACCTTAACCGGAACCTAGGTGGCAGGGCTATATAAAAAGGTGGACGCTTTACTGATACTGATACTGATACTGTTTACTATATACCGATATGAAGGGCGCACCCACGGATAACATTAGCGGTGCAATCAGGGGAGGTATCTACCGGCTCTCCCCGAAACGCGCGTCTGGGGTTGGCGGACAGGCGAGTTTGCGCACAGGGGAGGAGGAGAGCGAATTTATCTCTGTGGTGTCGACCTTTCCTCCGGAGCTAAATACTTTACCGAGATTTAATCCTCGGTACGGAAGAAGTATCATCCATTTCAGATTTCCAGCCATTGTTTAGTTTGGTGGTCGTGGTCGGGGGGGTGTACTGTGCGTAAATGATTAAATTCAATTTAGCACCAAGCGAGCCGCCCGACTTGTTTTGTTTCCAGTCCCTCTCGTACCCCTCGTTCACTAGACATTCGCGCTTGAAATTTACTTCACACTCGTCAAAAACGCCTCAGATTATCGGTGAATCATTTTTTTTTTCTATACCATGTGCTATGCCGGCTGTGCGTCGCTTAGGGAGGGCGGGATCGATGCGCTACTTCACAAATATCCTCTCGCCTCTACACCGCCCACCTGCCTGCCTTCACAAGGGGCTGGTTCTCCGGGTCTGCTTCCCAGAGAGAGAGAGGAGCGAGAATCATATGATACAGAAGTAGGCGGAACCCTAAAAAAAAAGCAGCGTTTTTAAAATACAGAACTGGGGGGTCGTGGGGATCGTCTCTTCATGTGTTGTTAAGGTGGGTTTGGTTCATTTTCACCTACCTGGGCTGGTCACCAAATTCAACCTCCGGGGCTGGTCAGCACCGCAGGGTTGCTTGCGTTATGGTTTCTAGGCGGGACCGAGAAGCTGTGTGTGTTTTTTTTTTAACTTTTCCAGTACTCATAGAAGTTCTTAGGGGGGAAAAACTGAGAGGGTTCGGCGTATTTAAAGGTTGCTGCGCGGCAGGAAAGTTGCCCCCTAATAAAATCTACATGCACGACTCAAACTGCCCCTGCAGAAGATTCGTGACAATAGGTGTACAAGAAAAACGGTGCTAACTCTTTGGTTTTGTTGTAAAAAAAAAAAACTTGATATCTGCAGTTTGTTAAGTATGTTAGTTCTTTAAACGGTGTGACTGCCTATAATCATATGCTATATTGACATGGGGTTTTGCAGATATTTTAAAATGTAATCTTTTTTTCCCCACCAAACGTCAGTCTGATCGCTCCTGTGCTGAGTGGACACCTACCGATCCTTACCTTTGTAAAGTTCAGATAACTGGAGTAGATTGCTTCCGTCTCGTTCTGCAAGTGTGTCACATATATTATGATCTTCGTGTTGACAGCATTCGTCTCCGTTTCCTGTCGTTCAAAAGCCCCCCCCTCAAAGCGCTTTTTCATCGTTTTCAAGGGTCTAAATAAGTAGACCCACGGTGCAGCTCTCAGACCCTTGAGATGCTGTCATGGGTTAAAAAAAACCTTGGGGGAATGACCCCTTTTAATGCATTTGCTATTGAGTGGGGCAGTTTCACATCCACGGTTAATAAGGACCCACACATCTGTTTTTGTACTGATAATGTATCATCCAGCTAGAACTGTACAGCTGCTTTTGTTAAAATTCTTTGTAGTACTTTTGTGAAATACACTAGAACTAGATTAACAAAGAAAAAAAGAACTCCACACATAAAGTTAAATATATGTACCAACACACATCCTCGCCCATAGAATGCCAGCTGCTTATTGTCAATCTGTTGAAAGGTGGCAATTATTTCTATAGAGATCTATGTCTTGCTGGGGCAATTCTGGTTTCGAATCGACTGGCTGTCCCTTTTCAGCGTGTTGAAAATGCCTCTTAAAGTGGGACACCGCCCAGGAACACAGACGGGTATGTGGTGCACAATTGGACAAGCTTCATTTCAGGTCTTCAAAATGGGGGAGGTCGTTTTGCACACATAAAAAGGGTAGATCATAAAAAACTTTGGTATATCATAATATATGAACAAATGCGAAGCAACACTTAGGGCAAATGGTAACAGCTGTCAACAGCATAAAACACAGAGATAGGTTACCATTTAGCACATCTGGACTGCAAGATTTTGTCAGTACAGAAAACGTTCAGTGACCCTTGGGACATAAAAACAGGTCCTGATGGACTCAAAACAGGCATGGATTTAATGAATCACATCATGCCCGCAGCTTCACTGTTTTAAACGGACCCTGAGAATAATACCAAGGCTTAGAAAGACCTAAATTTTTCTGATTTTAGAAGTAAATGTTACAATTCTGGGGGGGGGGGGTTAATCAATCAGCATATTGTCTATAATGGAGGACATATGTAGAGGTATTTGGTTTTGTTAAAAAAAAATAAAAAGGCCATATAGTGGCAAGTTTTAAAAAATAAAGGTGCTTAAGAAACTGGTAAAACTGCTAAATGAATGTGTCCAAAAATAGCTTGAGATTAATGGAACTGTTCAATAATGTATGCCTGGTATAAAGGAGTGTGAATCAGTGGAGGTTTCACCCTTTATACGAACAAGTGCAAAAAGTTAGGAAGGGCCAGTGAAATAGTGGACAGAGATATAGCCCAGCTTTCTGCCATGTGAAATTTAAATTGTATGCTGAAAACTAATGCTGGATGATTACGGATTGAGACGTCTGCATAGGAACAGTAGTTGTTGTTTTTTTTTTTTTGAGTAAAGGCTTTTCATTTTTGAGAGGAGCCTAATTTAGAAAAGCTTTGGATAATCATTCTGGTCCTGCCCTCTCTGACATCTCATTGGCCAGGCCTGCTGCCAGTCGTGTTGAGGAGGGGGGGGGCTGGCTGTTTCGGTTTCAGATTCTGTCTTTCCGGAAGAGTGAGGCTCAGCGTTTTTCTGCTCTCTTTGCTCTCTGGCTTAGAAGAAAGCTACTGCCGCCTTCAGAGCCTGGTGCCCGCAGGGACTGGTTTGCATCAGCAGGTGGAAGTTCAGGTCTTCTCTGCTGAGTCTGGGTGAGTTTGCACTTTATTCATTCTGCTGAGCTCCGAGTAGCTAGCACAAATAGCATTAGTGAGTATGTGAGTAGAGTATCAAATTACACCCCCAGCTTCACATGGCTTCAGAGTGAACATTCCCAGAAACAACTTTTTCATGGCTGGAAGTATCGGTTTTGTTCAAAACTGTGCAAAGATCGGAATGAGATCTGCACAAAGATTCTTTTTCTTCAGAAGTGCATCTTTTTCTCAAGGCCATTAAAGTTCCTGGAACACATTTGGTTCGAAATTGTGGTCCCTTTTTGAGAGCTAAATTTCGGAGATGAACTCTTTCCGTGGTGAAAGACTCTAATGCTTTGAATTATTGTTTGCCACCAAAGCTATCGTAAGGTAGTGTGCTATAGATCTGTGAGCAGGGAGGTTTCGTAAGTAGAGTACAGTTAAGAACCTGTGTGTCTGCTTGAGTAGTGCCCTGCTCTCTCCTCTTTGATCTCTGTTATGGTCTGGTTTGATGTCAGCTGACATGGTTCAAAATATGGAGGTTTACCACTCAAGTTTTATTGTAAGTGTACACATGCTGGGCAAACCCGTTCTTGTCTGCTCAGCAGGGGTCCAGAGACAAGTGGCCGGCTCACTTGGGCTGCCAGCTTGAGTCTGTGTCACACTGCAGTACCACTGGCTGAAACAGGCCAAAACCTTAGCCCCATTTACAGATATTTCACACAGGAAGGCTTAACGGCCGTGATGATTCTCCCTTACCATTTTTCTTGATTAAAAAAAGAGCCCAGCGTGTCTAGTTTATGGAAAACCGTGAAGGCTGCATACAGTATATAGAGCACTGCGGGCAAGTTTGTCAATGAACTCAAAACGTTTTGCTCTTTACAAGTTTAGCATTGTTCTCAAATCGTGCATAATGTGAAACAATTGTGACGCACAGATGTACCGAGTTGTAAATCCTCCATTATCAGAAGATCGCTATGGCCTGGACCCCATCCCAGAAGGACCGGGCGCAAGGAGGGGGGGCTACATTCGGGACACCGTGGGATCTCCGAGAAAATGAACCCTTTGTCCGGCTATCCGTGTTATTCAATGCTCCTGTTATCTATGTGAGATGGCACTGGCTTCCCAGTCGCGTTTTCGTGCTCCAGAATTTAACCATATCTGTGAGTGTCACATGTCAGTCATTTCTGAGTTCTAATGTATATCTGCTCCTGGGTGCGTGTTTGGGCCAGTGCTGATCACGCATGCGTGTGTTTCTGAAAGTCTCACCGTTAGCCGAGGTGCAGTGCATCATGGGATCCCCCGGTGGCAAATGGGGTTTCTGTTATATACGGTAATTACACATTGAGATCTGTTATTTTTCTGACTTTGATCCAGGCTCTTTGCTGTCATCTAAAGATCTCAAGGCTTAATTTAAGACACTTCAGAGCACCAGGATCCTTCAATTCCACCGACACGCAGTTGCCACCAGGGAAAAGAGGAGGAGAAGTAGCCCCTCCGTGTACTTTTACGAATATTTGGTGTCCAATGGAATTTTGTCATGATATCTGCATTGGGCAGCCCAGTCTTTTGTATAATATTGCTCTAGCCCTGTTCTCACCTTGTTGTGTGACCGGTCACTATCGGATACATTAGCACTGGTCAGACCGGAGACTTTCACGATATCTGTGTTTCTTCAGCTCGGCAAGGGCTAGTTTTTCGGCGTTCCATTTTCAGTTTCCATTCTGAAACATCCGTCCCATGGAGGTTTCGTTGAAGCTGTCACAGATGTTGAGACTGCTGGGAATATGTCTCACCGGAGGATTTAAAGGTGCAAGGCAGAAGCTCCCAGCACGCTTTGTCTGCTTGAAGGCATCCTGTTCTCCCTCCGGCCACTGGGGGGCACCCACACCAGAACCGTGGGGCAGCAGAGAGCCCACATGAGCTAATAAGGTATCTGTTCCCGAATCAACTTGGAAAGATTTACAGGGGGCTTCTTCATTTAACACCGACCCTAAGATACAGATCCCCTGTGTTCAGGAGTACAAACAAGCTAGTCAGAAGGGAGGGTTCCTCAGTCTAGCGACATCTAAGTGTTCCCTTGTGGTGCTTAATTTGTTCACCATCTGACAGTGTTAGAATAAAATGTTTGCAACTGGAGTATGTTTGTTTTAACGGTCACAAGGCTCCCACCCGAAGGATGCCGACCTAATTATTCCCCGTTAAGGAGAACTGCAACAAGCGACCCAGTAAGAGAAATCAGGTCTGCTCTTTTAGTCGGGTCCCAGAGGACCGGGTGACTCCAGGGAGCAGGGTTTGCAGGAGATTTCAGCAGCAGGCTGTGGGACGTGTGAAGCCCGACCCCAGGATTTCTGTCTGGCCAAGATGAAACCAGATCCTCGACAGCCAGATGCAGGGCTCGTAGCAGGTGTGTGCTCGAGGCTCCTCGTCCGGGCCCGGCCCATCGGGGTGACAAGTTGGTCCGACTGGCACCCCAGTTGTACGGGGTCGCCCCGTGCCGGCAAGCCGCGTTGCACATGAGGGGTTGGGGCTGTGGCTGCTTTCGATGGCGATCCCCCGGGCTGGAGCTGCCTGACCCCCCTGCTCCTCGAGGTCCTGGGCGTTGTTTGGTCTCGCCCGAT